GTCTAGAATCTTTTTCTTGCATTTGGATACTGTGTCAGCATTTCAGCGTTTGTTGAAAATACTATCTTTTCTCCATGGAATTGCTTTTGCTTCTTTATCAAAGACTAGTGGACTCTCTGGGTCTATTTCTGGGCTCTCTACTCTGTTCCATTCATGTATTTATCTGCTCTTTCACCAGTACCACACTGGTTTTTACTGTAGTTTTACAGTAAGTCTTGAAGTTACTGTCGTCCTCCAACTGTTCTCACTCAGTGCTGTGTTGGCTATTCTGCATCTTTTTAATGTGTATGTGTCTTTATATTCAAAGTGGGTTTCTTGTATACACCATATAGGTGAGTCTTGTTTTTTTATTCACTCTTAAAGCTTCTTTTTTAATTGGTGTATTTAGACCAATGATGTTTAAATTGATTCTTGGTAATTGGATTAATATCTATCTCATTTTTACTGTTTTCTATTCATTGCCCTTGTTCTTGGTTTCTTCAGTCTATTTCTGACTTTTCTGGTTTTAATGCAGCATTTAAGTTACTCCATTTTCTCTCTTCTCTTCAGTTCAGGTCAGTCGCTCAGTTGCGTCTGACTCTTTGCGACCCCATGGACTGCAGCACACCAGGCTTCCCTGTCCTTCACCAACTCCCGGAGCTCACTCAAACTCATGTCCATAGAGTCAGTGATGCCATCCAACCATCTCATCCTCTGTCATCCCCTTCTCCTCCTGCCCTCAATCTTTCCCAGCATCAGGGTCTTTTCCAATGAGTCAGCTCCTCACATCAGGTGGCCAAAGTATTAGAACCTCAGCTTCAGCATCAGTCCTTCCAATGAATGTTCAGGACTGATCTCCTTTAGGATGGATTGGGTGCATCTCCTTGCAGTCCGAGGGACTCTCAAGAGTCTTCTCCAACACCACAGTTCAAAAGCATCAGTTCTTCGGTGCTCAGCTTTCTTTATATTCCAACTCTCACATCCATACATGACTACTAGAAAAACCATAGCCTTGACTAGATGGACCTTTGTTGAAAAAGTAATGTCTCTGCTTTTTAATATGCTGTCTAGGTTGGCCATAACTTTTCTTCCAAGGAGCAAGCATCTTTTAATTTCATGGCTGCAGTCACCATCTGCAGTGATTTTAGAGCCCCCCAAATAAAGTCTGCCAGTTTCCATTGTTTCCCCATCTATTTACCATTAAGTGATAGGACCAGATGCCATGATCTTAGTTTTCTGAATGTTGAGTTTTAAGCCAACTTTTTCACTCTTGTTTTTCACTTCCTTCAAGAGGCTCTTTAGTTCCTCTTCACTTTCTGCCATAAGGGTGGTGTCATCTGCATATCTGAGGTTATTGATATTTCTCCTGGCAATCTTGATTCCAGCTTGGGCTTCATCCAGACCAGCATTTCATGTGATGTACTCTGCATATAAATTAAATAAGCAGGATGACAATATACAGCCTTGATGTACTCCTTTTCCTATTTGGAAACAGTCTGTTGTTCCATGTCCAGTTCTAACTGTTGCTTCCTGACCTCCATATAGGCTTCTCAAAAGGCGGGTCAGGTGGTCTGGTATTCCCATCTCTTTCAGAATTTTCCACAGTTTGTTGTGATCCACACAGTCAAAGGCTTTGGTGTACTCAATAAAGCAGAAGTCGATGTGTTTCTAGAACTCTCTTGCTTTTTCAATGATCCAATGAATGTTGGCAATTTGGTCTCTGGTGCCTTTTCTGAATCCAGCTTGAACATCTGGAAGTTCATGGTTCATGTACTGTTGAAGCATGGCTTCAGAATTTTAAGCATTACTCTGCTAGCGTGTGAGATGAGTGAACTGTGTAGCGGTTTGAACATTCTTTGGCATTGCCTTTCTTTGGGATTGGAATGAAAACTGACCTCTTCTAATCCTGTGGCCACTGCTGAGTTTTCCAAATTTGCTGGCAGATTGAGTGCAGCACTTTCACAGCATCATCTTTTAGGATTTGAAATAGCTCAACTGGAATTCCATCACCTCCACTAGCTTTGTTGGTAGTGATGCTTCCTAAGGCCCACTTGACTTCACTATTTGGACTTTATACAACCCCATGGACAGTTCATGGTATTCTTCAGGCCAAAATACTGGAGTGGGTAGCCTTTCCCTTCTCCAGGGGATCTTCCCAACCCAGGGATTGAACCTAGGTGCCCTGCATTGCAGGCGAATTCTTTACCAGCTGAGCCACAACGGAAGCCCTCTCTTCTCTTAGCATATCGATTATACTTCTTTTTTAAAACTTTTTTTTTTTTGCAAGGGGGAGGGTGCCCTAAAGTTTGCAATATACATTGACTACTAATCCAAGTTCACTTTCAAAGAATACTATACCATGTCATGGGTAGGGAAAATACCTTGTAACAGAGTATCCCCAATTCTTCATTCCCTCCCTTAAAATATTGTCATTTATTTCATTTATCCATTAAATAATCACCAAATACATGTAGCTGTTGTTACTCTGAAGAAACCATTGTCTGTTAATTAAGAATAAGAAAAATAAATGACTTTATCTTCATGCATTCTTTCTCTTGGGGCTTCCCAGGTGGTCAGTGGTAAAGAATCAGCCTGCCAATGCAGGAGACATGGGTTCAATCTCTGGGTTGGGAAGATCCCTTGGATAAGGGAAGGGCAATCCACTCCAGTATTCTTGCCTGGGGAATGCCATGGACAGAGGAGCCTGGTGGGCTACAGTCCATAGGGTCACAAAGAGACGCAACTTAGCAACTAAAACAACATTGTCTAATGCTCTTTTTTTCTTTATGCAGATCTGAGTTTCTGATCTATATAATTTTCCTTTTCTTTGACGAACTTAACATTTCTTCCAAAGCTGGTCTACTGGCAACAGATGCCATCTGCCTACTTCTCTTTCACTTTTGAAAGATGATTTCAATACACACAGAATTCTAGATTGGTGGTTTTTCACACTCTGCTTTCTTGTTGATTGTATGGTTGCTGAAGAGGTCTCACGTATCTCTTATCCTTGCTCCTCTACAGGTAAGATTTTTTCCCTTCTGGCTTCTTTCAAAAAAATTTTGTTTGCTTTTGAATTTCTGCCTTTTGCACATGATATACTTAGGTGAAGATTTCTGGGGCATTTATCTCAAGTCATGTTCTCCGAGTTTCTTATATCTGTGGTTTGTGCCTGTCATTAATTTTTGAAAATTCTCAGCCATTATTACTTCAGACATTCCTCTGTCCCCTTCTCTCCTACCTGGTATTTTCATTGTACATTTGTTATGCTTTTTATAACTATCTCACAGTTCTTGGATATTGTTTTTTTAAAATTTTTTTTTCTATTTGCTTTTCAGTTTTGGAAGTTTCTCATGACATTTCTTCAAGCTCACTGAGTCTTTCCTCAGCCACGGTCAGTTTTCTGATAAGCCCATCGTAGGCATTCTTCATTTCTGTTACAGGATTTTTCATTTCTAGTATTTCCTTTTGACTTTTTCTTAAGCATTTCCATCTCTCTGCTTACATTACCCCTCTGTTCCTGCATATTGTAATTTTCTTCCATTAGAGCCTATAGGATATTAATTGCAGTTGCTTTAAATTCCCATGCTTGTATCATTATGTCTGAGTTTGGTTATGATGCCTTCTCTATCTTTACAAACTGTGTGGGTTTTTTTGTCTTTTACTATGCTTTGTAATTTTTTGTTGAACACTGAACATGATGTACTAGGTAAGAAAGAACTATGGTACACAGGCCTTTAGTTTGAGCTTGTTTGTTTATCTCGTGAGCAGTTGGGCCATGTTTATTGTTTGCTGCAGCTCTAAGTGGCATATGCTAAAATTTCCTCTGATGTCCTTGCTTTTGTCTCCATTGTTGTCTCTGGGTTTCCTTACAGACTTCTTAAGAGAAAGTTGAAGATTGTGCAGTTCTTTCCATTGTAACCCATTGTTGTTATACAGGAGCCCTGTTGATATGATGGTGAGGTGTTGTGGGGAGGGGACGCATTCTATAGGTCTATGATCACTCTTTTTGTGAGACTGTGCCTCTGGGCTGTGACCTTTACAAGTATTTTCCCTTCTCCTTCGGTGAGAAGAATAAGGCTAGAGGGGGCAGAAGTTGGGTATATCTGTTTCCCCAGGTTTCTTAGGCTCTGATAACTTCCCAGCAAGTTAGGCTCAGGTGAAAGAGTTTCCCTTGAGGGCAGGCCTTCTTAAGAAGAGCAGAATGTTCTGGTGTCTTTTTGAATGTCTACTTTTCCCCTCCCCCTGCTGCAATTATAGGGGAGTTTTTTTCTAATCTTTACTGTGAGAATCTGGTAGGGCTCGTGGAAGTAAAATTCACAAAACTTCAGGGGTCCCCCCCAAGACTCTGCTCCCTCTAGAATTTTTAACTTTTGAGTTCATCCATGTGAGACTAGCAATTCTTCAATAATAGCTTTAAGTTTGTCTGCTCAGGTACTTGCTCCTCCCGTGGTTTCTGCTTCTGAGACCTTGGTCCTGTAATCAGTGACACTCTATGCCTGTCTGTCTCTCCAATTTGGGAACAGAGGTTTGCCCTGTGACCTCGGATCTCTGAAGGATTTAAAAAGCACTGATGACTTTAAGTTCGTTCAGTTTTTTTTCTTATTATAAGGATAGGAGTGATGATGTCCAAACTCCTTACATACCAGACCAGATCAAAATTACTTTTATGTGTAATATCTGAAGGCTGAATTCTGTAAAATTATTACATGTGACATTTTCATTTGCTCATTTATATTTCTTCACAGTTCCCATCTTTCTGTTATTCCCATTAAGCCACACAAGGTAAAAGCATGGCCAAAATTCCAATGAAGTATAGTTAACTGGTAATCTAGAACAAGGCCTTTGAAGATGAAATTAATGGAACAAGACATGTGTAGATTTTACAAGTTGTTTACCAAACTGTTTGAGTCCACCCAAACAGTAGCCTTAATTTAACTTCACCATATGAACTTGCCTTCACTTGCAGTCCTAATTACTAAGGAAACAATTTGATCCCAGACTTAATAAGCACATTCACACTGTTACTTCACATCGGCATCAGATTAATATTTTTACTTGAACAAAGCAAAAGGGTATTGCAAATAACTTAAGGGTGAAACCATTTGGTTTGTTTTCTATTTAGGATACTATAGAAATTTATCTACTCCAATATAAAGTAATAAGGGAAAAAATGTTAAACTAGAAACTATAAATAAATTAAAATTTCAATATTATTTTAGAAATGTCTTAAACAAACATTCTCCGTGGGATGAGGTAGGGAAATCTAAATTACTATTGAGTTTGTGCAATGTGTTCTATTGTAATGAAGCTGTAATTACCTGTTTTAATTCCTGTTTAAAATATACACACACACACACACACACAAGTCAGGTTTGTCTAGGAGAGAGTCTTAGGAAAAGCTAAACAGAGGAGATTTTAAACTTTTCTCTTAAACGTTTTAGTATATAGATACACAAGGACATTAGTAACTTCTAAGGGTGGCCCAATATTAGCTCATCTTGGTAAACTAGATTTATAAAGTATGGCAAAGCCCTATCTTTTCATCTTCCTATAAAGAACAATTTCTAACTCAAACGACACTTACTGGTCTCTAATAAAGAGATTTCGCTTATATTCATGGAATTAACAAGACAGATCTGAATAAGTATTAAATTTATGTAGAGTTGAATACAGAAAACACATCCTGTGAAATTAGCTAACCATATATGAACAATGTGTAAGACTCATAAGGAAAATTTCATTTTGCAGTAACTATTTTTGTGATTATGAATATAGAGCCTGATCCAGGAAGAAAATTGATAGCCATTCTTTTTAGAAATTCATATACTATCTACTCTATAGTAGATAACATGTACCTGCATCACAAGGGAAGGAAAAGGGAACTTTACACTGTGGATGGTTACATGAAATCCAGTGAACCTGACGTATTTGCTTTGTGTAGGCCAGTAGTTTTTCACTTGTCCTGATGATCAAGTAAAAGCTCACAGGGCTCATCTGAAAAGAGCCACATCATAACTTTGGTGCTGTGCTTGAAATAAAACTGTAAGATATACACATATACACAACCCCAAATAGATCTGTCTTAAATGGATAAAGAAAGATAACAATATAATTTATTTAAAAATACTTCAAAGACACTCTTCTCAATTAAATCTGTGACCACTTCATTTTTCCTGCCTCCCTAGAAGGTTCTAATCAGTGAGGCGTCTTCCATCTTATTACCACCTTTACTCCATCCATGATGTCATATGCTCATTACCTGCATGAACAGTTCAGTGCTCACATCAATTAAATATTAAAAACAACAAGCCTGTTATCAGAAGAGTGGTACGCTAAAGATTCTATTTTGTGAGTTATGGAAATGTGCTCCAAAATGTCCTTTATAGAACACGGTTTTTCTTTCTCCTAAAATAAAAATAATGAGCCAAAATAGTTGCATGAAACAAATGACACAAAAGTACAACTCTTGGAGGAAAAAAAAAATGAGATTTACCAACAGCTTGGGGGAGGTGAAAGGTCAACACTTAAATGATACAGTCCGTAACATGAATCAGTAGTGTATCTATGTCGGGAAGAACTTCTCCACATTTGGGGCAAGAATGAATTGGAATATTCTGTTGCTGCTGCAGCCAGTTTCTATCCTCGGCTCCTGGGAAGAACCATTAAATGAAATGTTAATCCATTCCTTCCATAGTGCAAGCAGTTTTTAATAACAGATTGTTAATTTTAATGTTCAGGTAAACTTTGTAATCAATACCTCGTGGGAAATGAACACAGGTTTTTCAGTCTTTAACTGAAGAAGTCTATACACACAGAAAAAAAATGTCCAGAAGCAGTGCCTGCTTCCCTGTGATATTAGGATTTAGCCTCTATTCAAGGTTCTAGGTATATGAAAACATGGTTTCAGTTCCAGGTATAGGACAATACATGTTCTAGTAAAAACTAGGATATTTGAGAGAAGAAAAGAGACGAGGATGTAAGCGAAAGGGAAGGAGAGAATGTGGGAAGACAGCAAGCAGAACACTGAGAGGGATCCGGAACAGTAGGTAGCTTCTCAGAAGTGGAGACAGCAGTTAGGGTCATTCAGCAGTTGTGTCTGAGCACCTGGGGTGGGGGGAGAGGCATACAGACATCATGGGGACATCAGGCAAGAAGAGTGAGCGACAGGGGTGGGGCGTGCCAGAAGCGCCGCAGCTGGCAGAGAAGGGCTCAGACTGCTTGGTGCAGACAGGCTCCCCTGTTGAGATCAATTCCACATGTGAGAAGAGTTTTAAGAATGAAGAGTTATCCAGGCAAAGAAGTGTGAAGGGACTGAAGAAAGAGTCCTGTCATTTCCCTCAATGTTGGAGTTGGACTGAGGTTCAAGTCTAAATCAAAGAATGCTTGATGTATACCAGAAATCAACACAATACTATAAAACAAACATCAACAATTAAAAATAAATATATAAAAGAGAATGCTCAAAACAAGCCTTGACTATTGGCAGGTCCCACGTGTGCGAACCATACTCCGTGCAGGAAATGATTTCTGGCTCCCAGGACCGTTCTTTGATCTAACCTTGCTGCACTGATGCAAACCATTTTTAGCTTTTTAGCATCTCCGCCCAGGTCGCTAGACTTGTTCAGGTCCCCCCAAATGTTTGTTTTTGCAGATGACAGTGGAGGTAACGTTTAAAATTACTATCTACTTCTGAGCATATTATTTGAATTGAATAACACGGGAGACTATTATGGATAGTTTGTGTCCAGCAAACTATAGAAGCAACTTTGAATAGAAATACTGATCACAAGGCATGATTTCTGAAGCAGTGGGCTTGCTAATGGTCTCATTGTTTTAGATTAGGGGCAGTAAACTTTTCCTGTAAAGGGCCAGAGAATAAGTATTCCAGGCTTTACAGTCATAAATTTCTGGCATAACTACTTAACTCTGCCACTGTTGCAAGAAAGTAGCCAGACAGTATGTCAACAAGAGGGCATGACTAGGTTGCAATAAAACTTTACTTATTCAAACAGCTGACAGACCAGTTTTGGCCTGTAGGCTGCAGTTTGTCAAAATCTGCTCTAGATGACAAGCAGCCACTTATCAGGGACTGTTAATTCATCCCTTTAAACTTTATGGCATCCGTTGGCACCTTTCTTTTTGTCCTGAAACCTTGTTTAGGTTTCAAGATGCAGACTTAGGCTGTTGTATCACTCAGCTAATGGTTCCCTCCACCTCCTGGCTCTTCACTGTAAAATAAGCTTAGTCAGTTTTCCTTATTTACGCACCACACTCATTTCTGCCTTTGCCCTTTTATTCTTATACAGAAGTTATGGCTTCCAGGTGAAGCTTACAGTCACATCTTTCCAAGGCCTTTCTCAAGCCTCCTGGCCCTCTGGTGTCATCCTTTCCTCTTATCTCCAGCACTATTGTTTCTGTCCCTTGTTATATTATGAATTCATCTTGTTGCATGCATATCCTGTCCAACTAGATCACAGGCCTTCACGGATCTGACCGTGCTTTATGCTCGCCTGTTCCCTCATGCTCAGCTAAGTGCCCTAGGCCAGAGGACAACCACAATGAAATAACACTGAGAGGAGTTATACTGTTTAAGGCTGCTTTGTTAGGAAACAAACAAAGAATTTTAGGACAATCTCTGTTTGGAATATTGTTACTTATATGATCAAAAACTTATGAGGATAATTATGAATACATCCGTATTTTGTGGCGAGTTTTAGATTATAAATATAAGCCAAAGAGTGTTTGGTCAGTTTTCTTTTATTTTCCTAAGTGTAAATAGATATTTGCCTTATATAGTTATGAGAAAGAAAAAATTTCCTGAGAAATCTAGGTGTAAGAACTGTCCTTTTTTTTGAACCAAGACAATCTTGGAGGTACTTATAGATAGGAGATATATGGGTATTCCTAGGATATTTAAATTCAGCTTAGAGAAAAGGCCTGGCAGTGCACGAGTGGGTAGATGCCGCTTTCTCTTCTGATCCTAAAAAATGCCTAAGGCTAATGTTTAGACCAGTGCCTATGCTCCTGCTGGGTACCCCCCCCCACCACCACCACCAGGGGGTGCTAGTGGTAAAGAACCTGCCTGCCAATGTTCAATCCCTGGGTTGGGAAGATCCCCTGGAGGAGGACATGGCAACCCACTCCAGTATTCTTGCCTGGAATATCCCATGGATTGAGGAGCCTGGCGGGCTACAGTTCTTAGGGTTGCAAAGAGTTGGACACAACTGAAGTGACTTAGCATGCACTGTGCTCCTGCATATGCCCCATGAATACTATATGTATCTTTTTGGAATTTTTTTAATGTGTATTTTTAACCTGAATCACTACCTCTAATATTTACTTTAATCTGTTTTTTCCTGTAGAAGGACTTTGGCAGGGGCATTGGCAGAGACAGGCGGTAGAAGGGATGCTCAGAAAACTTTTGCTACAATTTAACAGTGAACTATACATACTATATTGCTTCCTTGCTGTTGATAACCACACTGATAGTTCCATTTCAGTGGTCAGTTGGAATGTGGAAGGGATTCAGACTGATCTAGCAATAAAAAATTAAGAATCAGTTTTATGTAAAATTTAGATAACATCTTTTTTTTTATAACATCTAATCAAATCAGATAACATCTGATTCTTCTTAGTGGCATTGCTATTAACCTTTCATCTAGCTATGTCAGTCTTCGATCCTTTGACTATTATGTTTTTTCCTATCTAGACTCAAGGATAATACTTCCCTTTCAGTGACATAATTTACTGTAAATGACAGAACATTATTCCTGGAGTATTAAAACCATGTTAATAAACACAGCACTATATTTTGTATAAATATTATGATCAATTTCACTCAGGGAATTAAAATCTGGATATAGAACATAGTGACAGGCTTATTACATGTAGTACTGTGTAGTGGCGAAGAGTTAGATAACCTTGGGCTCCATGTTCAGTTCTGCCCCTTAGAAGCCTTGTGATCCTGGGTTATTGAACCTTGTCTTCTGGAAGATGGTGATACAATATACCTGATGGAATTTTGTCAGGATCAGATGAAGTAATTTGTATGAAGTGATCAGCATAGCACCAGCACATAGTAAACTCTCAATAAATGATAACCTTACTATATGCATAACACCAGGTATTGGGTGAGGATTCAGCTCTGCAGGGGCTTATTTAATAGAGTACTTAAATGCATATTTAGAACACATAAGTAACTATAAAATAGCAGATAAGTACTGGAACAGAAATAAAGTACTTTGGAAACTGAGGAGGGAAAGGTCACATTCTGTTGAATTCATGGGGATGGTATTTGAAATGGGTTTTAAAGATGGGGTAAGAGTTCACTGGAAAGAGACTGTAGGAATAAGGAAGGGCCTCTATATGAAGGATACCACATAAGCAAGTACACATAGGTGTATAAGTTTAGGACAAGTTCAAGGAACAGTGAGTGATTCTGTTGGCTAATATCCATAGGGGAACAGCGTGAGAGAAGGCTTAGAATTTTGGCTATATCAGCTGTTAACTGCCAGTGTGAAGAGTCTGGTCTGGATTCAGGAGGGAATGGATGGAGTTTGGGGTACTCTGGAAATAAGACTGATTTTTGCTGTATTTTTGGTAACTTCACCTAGAATATATAGAATGTAGTGAGATTTTAGTGTATATAGAATGTAGTGCAATTTTCCTTCAAGCATCTTCTTCACAGGATAGCAAACCCATGGAACCTCTACCACTTGGCATCACACGTGACTCACCTCTTTGAACGAGATAAGCCTGCTGGTCAGCGTCACTTGTTCTCGCCCCGTGACGGCTCTGCATTTCCATTAAGGTCTGCCTGCTGGGATAAAAAGCAATGCTATCTGCGAAACCTTGAAATATGACAACATTAAGCAGGCATTCAACACAGGTGTCAGAAAAAAGAGGTAAACTACAAAGCCAAGGTTCACAGAAACTAGAACTTAAGAGTAATTTGAGTTTTAAATATCACTGGCACTAGGACATAATGTAGTAAATATGATTTTTTAAAAATCAGGAAATAAACAGAATGTCAATCAATGGGGAATAGGTTGGAAAAAAGTGGCATATTTCTAAAGCAGGACACAACAAAGCAAATAATGAATTAAATCTGCATATACATACAGATTTATATATATATAGATAGAGAGTTCAAAATCAGTTATATATATAAAACAAGTTGCAGAATAATACCTTTAGTGACCATTCTGTAACCTATGCACCTTGCTCTAAGAAATTAATATTACCTTGTTTTAAGATATTATATAGGTGTGTATACATGCAAAAATACAAAACAGCTGGAGATGCTACACACGAGTTCCAGGCACTGTGGGAGAGGGACAGAGGATGATACTGAGGGATAGGGAGAAAGGAGACTGCAACTTCATCTACAGTTCTTTCTTCTTTTTATAAAAATATACTTGAAGCAAATAAAAGAAGTATTAGTAACTGTCAATCCTCGATGGGTACATATTGGCTTCCCTGGTGGCTCAAATGGTAAAGAATCCACCTGCAATGCAGGAGACCTGGGTTTGATCCCTGGGTCAGGAAGACCCCCTCAAGAAGGAAATGGCAAGCCACTCCAGTATTCCTGCCTGGAGAATTCCATGGACAGGGGAGCCTGGTGGGCTACAGTCCATGGGGTTGCAAAGGGTCACACATGACTGAGCAACTAACATACACACCCTGGTGTGTGTTATTTTATTCTCTGTATTTTTCTGTTTCTTACTCCTCTATATTTTGTTCTCAAAAGGAAATTTTTAAAGATAGAAGTAATTTTAGCAGTATTTTCTTGTAAAACATATTACAGAATTACTTAAAGTGTTAGGAATATTTCATCCATGACAATGGCAGGATATGACTGGAACCCATATTATCATGCTTTTACAATTTATCTAGAAGCAGAAACTCAATCAGGTTCCCACAAGATACTGCCAAGCCTTTTAAAGCAAACCAAGTATCAGGAACACTGTCAGGCCAGGAGTACTCAAAGTGAGTCTTGGAGCTCAAACAGCTAAAATACTGTGGGTCCCTCTCCCACAACCTGGGTGATCTGTGCTCCAAGTCTTCCCCTCACTTACCTGCCTCCATCTTCAAAATCATTGTTTTCTTTCAGCAGAACTGCCAGCTGCAATGCCAGCTGCTCCTTTTCTTCATGAATCTTCTCTCTTGCTGCTCTTTCAGCATGAAAATCAGAACAATAAACCTCCATCTGTTAGAGGGAAGAAAAAAGAGAAGTTACTACCCAGACAAATGTGGATTCTCTAACAGCCTATCTGCTGATAAGTGGAAGAGGCTGTGCTACATCCTGTGGCATGTCTTACAAATATTAATAACAGGTACATGCTCCTGCTAGAAACCAGCATGATGACCGTGACCATGTGAGTGAGCCATCCTGAAAACAGATCTTCAAGTTCATCCTTAGTGCAGCCTCATGAGAGACCCTGAGTCAGAATCACCCAGCTAAGCTGCTCCTGGATTCCAGATCCATAGCAACTGAGATAATAAATGCTTGTTGCTTTAGCAGCTTCATTAGGAGAATAATGTTACCTCTAAATAAATAAATATTATGCTATAATATGTAATTTCTTCACTGTTATAAAATTATAAAGTAAAAATGAATGCCTTAATAGTGAACTGAGCATTATTTTAATACCAGTTTTTAACTTTCTATATTTTCAATTAGGTTTTCCTTTTCAGATTTAGTGGTTCTAGGATATATTTTTTTAATCTATTATTTTAAAAAGTTAATAAACATTTGAATATTCTAATCACAATTTTAGTTGCCAAAAACAGTATGAAATAGATCATGTTAAGGGACTTCCTGCCATTTGTAAGTGCTCTAACATTTTATGGTTTTCATTGGTAGATCATGGCTTTTTTGAGTCAGACATAAATCTGAGTTAGGATCTCATTTCCATCACATCATTAGGTTTGAGCCAGTAAGACCTAGGCCTTTGTTTTGTCCATCTCTATATCCCCAACAATGAGAACTGTGTCTGACATTAATTGTAAGTGCTCAAAAAGAGTTGTTGAGTGAATGAACAAGAGTATCCATCAAAACAAAGCAAACATCTCCTTATAGACTGTGGCAAAAGTACATGGCTCCAGGGTCAGGCTCAATCAAAGGAAATGCCTGAAAAAGCTCAAGGTGAAATTTTATTCCTGTAGAAATAAAACCAAAGCCGTGAAAAGTGAAAGTTGCTAGTCATGTCCGACTCTTTGCAACCCTGTGAGATATACAGTCCATGGAGTTCTCCAGGCCAGAATACTGGAGTGGGTAGCCCTTCCCTTCTCCAGGGGATCATCCTAACCCAGGGATTGAACCCAGGTCTCCCACATCACAGGCACATTCTTTACCAGGTAGACACCAGGGAAACCCCAGAATACTGGAGTGGATAGCCTATCCCTTCTCCAGCGGATCTTCCTGACCCAGGAATTGAACCAGGTTCTCTTGCATTGCAGGTGGATTCTTTACCAGCTGCGCTATCAGGGAAGCCTATAACTACAGTATCAGGCCCAATCAAAGAAAATACCTAAAAGAGCTCAGGTTGAAATTCTATTCCTATAGAAATAAAACTAAAGCTGTAAGTCCATTCAACCACTCCTATATTTCACTAGGCCAGCCACTATGGGCAGCAGGTAATGAGTATGTATATAGGGAATAGTAAACTTCTGGTATTGTTACATTGAAAATAATGTTTATCAGTTTGGCAAACGTTTAAAAGAGTAATGCAAGGATGTAGGGAAATAGGGGCTTTCAGCTACTTTTGGTGAGTAAAAAATTTTGATTATGGACTTCCAGAAGACAACTTGGAAATAGTTATTTAACTTAAAAACAATCTAACCCAATGACCCAACCATTCCATTTCTGTATCTTACTAGAGATTCCACAAAAGCACAAAGATATACATACAAGAATATTCAGTTCAACATTGTTGATAAAAAGCAAAAATATTGGTACAACCTACATGTCCATTAATAGAGGGCTGGTTAAATATATGAGGGTAATGCACACTTTGGACACCATACAACTATTTTAAAAAGTACATATGGCTGTGAGTAATAACATGGAGAGATATCCAATATAGATCAGGAATGAAAAAGTAGTACAATATGTATGGCATGATCCTGGTTTTAATTACACAAGCAATGAGGTGGTAGGAAGACTAACTCTACCAGACATCAAAACATTTGATTATTTATAATGAGACAGTATGTACCAGACCAACAATGTACAAACAGACCAATGGAACAGTGTAGAATCCAGAAATATACCTGTGGGTACATTGACATAATATGTGACAAAGAGGGCAGCAGAGTCCTTAAGAAAAGACAACCTTTTAAATAAATGGTGCCAAATGAATAGGATATTCATGTAGAAAAAAAATATGAATCTTTACCCTTACTTCACTGCATATAGAAAAGCTAATTTCAAATATTTTTGTATCTTAATGTAAAAGACAAAACCATAAATCTTTTAGACGTCAACACAGGAGAATATATTCATAGCCTTGAGGTAATGAAAGCATTTAAAACAGGACACAGAAGTACTATCATCATAAATGAAGAGACTGATAAACTAGACTACATTAAAATTAAGAATTCTGTTCATCAAAAGACATGCTCATGAGAGTGGAAAGGCAAATCACAGAGTGAAGAAATCTGCAAAAAGCACTGCCAAGGGCTTATATCTGGAATATATAAAGAACTCCTATAAAATTAAGAAAAAGCCAGCAAACCAGAAGAAAACTGGGCAAAGACCTGATCAGGCACTTCACAAAAGGAGATCCTTAAAAGGCCAGTAAACATTTCAAAAAGTACACGTTCAAACCAGCAGGGAAATGCAAATTAAATGAGACACCATTATAAACTCATCAGAATGTTTAAAAATTAAAATACTGATAATACAAGTATGGGTCAAGGTGGATATAGAGCAATAGGAACTCTCTGCTGATGGGAGTGAAAACTGGTAGGTACGTCCACTCTGGAAACCTCTTTGGCATTATCAGTCAACACTGAATAGCCTGCCTACTAGGAACAAGCAGTTTTGCTCCTAGGTGTGCACCCAACAGAAATGAATGCACTGGTGAATAAAGAGACTTGCATAAGAATGTCAGAGCAACATTAAACATCATTTCCAAGCTGAGAATGATCCAGCTGTCCATCAACTGTAGAATGGATGAATTTAATGAGCAGTACACTTAGAAGTGTGGTATGCTTTCCACATGTGATAAACTTCAGTAAAAAGGTTTTTAAAAAATATATTAGTGGAAATAGTGTAATATCAAAAATATGTATCTTCAGCACCACCACTCTCTTGTCTGAGGATATAGTCAAGGCTGGCCCCCCTCGGCTCCTGCTTGGGAACAGGCTACCTGAGCCCTGAGGACGGCCATGGTCTCCAGGTCCTTCTCCTGCTTGGCGATGGTCTGCTTCATCCCATCCATTTGGAGCTGCTTGGAAGCCAGGGCCTTCTCTGCCAGTTCCAGCTTCCCACTCAGTTCCTGCAGCACCACCTTATCCACTTTTTCTGACTGAAAAAGATAAGCTTATTCTGGACTTGGGTTTTGAAATAATTCAACCTATTTAGTAAAATGTAACATGAAGGCTTAAATTAAAAATTTACTAGGTCTTCAGAGAGGAACCATATTCTAGGAAAATTAAATGAAAAACAAAGTATATTTTTAAGACTATAAACTCAAAGACCCCTTCTAATTCAAAGCTCCCCTGCTCTTTACTTATTGCCGCTTTACTGAGGTAAAACTGACAAAATTGTAAAATATTTGAAGTGTAAAATGTGATGATTTGATATACAAATATACTGTGAAAAGGTTCCCCCGATTGGGTTAATTCATCTCTCATCTGACGTATCTATCCATGGTGTTTAAACTATCACACCATGCTGGGGACATTATTACTAAGTTAAGTTGCAGCCCAGTAAGTCCAGGGTCTCAAGCTCACTGACAGAGGCAAGCTAGCCTTGTGAGAGCTCCCAGCAGCAGTCTCACTATACATCCATTACTCATGGAGGAGCCCATACTCAGCTCTCCTGCAAACTCACCCACCATTAGAAATGCTAACAGCTTACTTCATGACCATAAGACGTGCGCCCCATCTTTGGCTACATGGCAAATTATACATATGCGGCAGGAGTTATGAACACTTAAGACACAAGAAGTCAATTACTGATATAAATGGAAAAAAACCTTTGAAACCAGACTTAGTTAAGGATTAACACAACTACCTCACATATTTACATAAAATGTTCAGTAGTTCCATTCACTACTAGGCTATGAAAGTAATTTGTTTTTTCTATGAGTACCTCTCTCCTTTTTAGTTCCTCAATTGTCTTCAGTGCGTTATTGTATTCTTGAAGAAGCCTGTTGTGTGTCAACTGTAGAGTGCCTAATTTGGACCTATTTAAAAAGAAATTAAAAAGGAAATCTGGGGAAAATACATAGAAACTTAGTCTTGCCTCCCAACTGAACACTCAAGTAGCAAAATCTCTTCCACCTTTATAATCCTACCACCTACTAGCATATTCTTACTCTCAAAGAAAATGGTTTTTCTTCAAATAATCAAGATAGACTACAAATTATTTTCATAATTGTTAAAACTTAAATTTTATCTCTTCAAAAAAGTCTATTGATTCTCTTTCAAATAAACAAAAGACAAAAAATAAATTTATTCTTAAATCCTGATCCTAATTGCATAAAACTGCTCTTCTATCTTATTTCAGCAAGTAGCTATCCAGTCATTGCACTCACTTTTCATCTTCTGTTTTAGCTTGTTCCATTTTGATTTCTGATCGCATGCTTTCTACTTGGAGCTCTAATTTTTTGTTTTTATAAACCAGCTCTTGCTTTTCGTTCAGCTCTGATGGGCTTGCAGAATTTTTCCTTTCAAGGGCCTGACATCTAAGAAAGAGCAAAATTTCATGAGGACAAACAATGCTCCTTCACATTTCTCAGTGGCTTTTAAACAGATTCTCAGATTATGTAGCAAATACAAAGAATTTCATGATGACATTCTTCAAAAATTTAACAGTACAAAATTAAATATTTTATCCTTCCTCCTTTTTTATTAGAAGTGTTTCTGAACTGTTATGACTGAATATAAAAATATACAGATTTTTATAAAAGAAACTTACAGGCTCAAGTACAAAAAATATGGTTTCTGACAAAGATTCAGTAGGAGAGAAGGAAGTGCTTTACGTTCTATTAAAGATCAGAATGAGAATTTCAATGTAACAAGAGCAAAATGAGCCAATGACTGCTGTGTGTAAGACATTAATGCAAAAAGCATGTTAAACATTAGCTTACTTAATACAAAGTTTGAGTTATGACACACAGTTTACAGATGATAAAACTGAGGCACAGAGAGGTTAAATAAATAACTTGTCCAAGATAATACCACAAATAAGGGGTAAATCTGTATTTCAACCTGGATCTGTTTATCCAAAGTCCTTTGTATCAGCTGCTATGCTGTCCATAATACTGTAGAGCCTTGGTTAGCGTAACTCCACAGCAACATACATTTGTATATTGTGCCGGAAATATGCTTGCCAATTAATCTAAGAGAACAACATCAATTTAGCTTTTCTAAATTTGGGGCAACTCCTTACATCAAGAGAAATAAGCAGATGCAAAATTCTCTCAATTTAGATATTAGCATTCATAACTGATAGAAAATCAAGTTTTATTTTTTCCTCCCTAAATAAATCTCACTAAGGTTCTTCGTGCCCTTCGTAGCTTTCTTTTATGTTTGTTCACATCAATTTTGTCAGCTTACATAAGTCACAGGAAGTCTGGCTTACTGTTTTTTCCAGGTCCTCATATATGCTTAAAAGGCCCCCGAAAAGCAGAATCAGAGTCCCCTGGGTCCATTCCCCCAAGGACTTCATGGTTACATATTAACTGGAACATTGGTGTTTTCTGAATTCATATTTCAATTAGGTGTCTTTTTCTTTGACTCAGTAACACAGTAACAAAATGATGTTTTTGTATATTAACATTTTGTTAAACAGTACACTCTTTGAAGTGGGGGGTAAACATTATCTCTCATTCTTACTTTTCTTGAAGTCTCTTCTTCATTAGCTCAGCTTCACTGAGTTTCGTGTGAGCTTCCTGAAGCTCCTTAAACAGGGTTGTCACCTGAAGGTTCAGTGTTTCCACTTCACTTCCAATCTGTCATCCAGGAAATCCAAACATGCACTTATTAGAACTTAAATGAACCTCTTTGTGAGGAAACTGTGTGAACCACTGGCGTCTAACTAAGACTGTGAACTGATTAAACTTTTGGCACTTAATGCCCCAAACATCTGCAGAAGGCAATGGTACCCCACTCCAGTACTCTTGCCTGGAAAATCCCATAGATGGAGGAGCCTGGTAGGCTGCAGTCCATGGGGTTGCTAAGAGTTGGACAATGAGCGACTTCATTTTCACTTTCCACTTTCATGCACTGGTGAAGGAAATGTCAACTCACTGGAGAATCCCAGGGTGATTCAACCCAAATGGAGAATCCCAGGGACGGGGGAGCCTGGTGGGCTGCCGTCTATGGGGTCGCACAGAGTCGGACACCACTGAAGTGACTTAGCACAGCAGCAGCACCAAATATCTTGTATGGAAAAAAAAAAATCTTTGGATACAACTCTGTTTCCTCATAGAGCATTAACTGATCAATTTGGATACTCTTGTGATAATGTCTTTGTCATAATCAAATGGACCTTGACCACACTTCAGGGGAGCATAGATCACGGTGCTGTCAAAGCACAATCTACTTTACCCAGCTAGCAGCTCACGCCCACATTCCCTCACTGTTTTGCGTTTCTAGCTTACTCAGCTGTTTTCACTGTACTGGCTTCTTCCTGGCAGCTCTAGAAGTTTGGTCAATGAGTTTTACTGTGCCAGGGAAGTCTCAATACTTCTCTATCATTAGTTGTTGATTAGTTTTGGTCTCTTCATCTCAGTTTTTAACATATTCTCCATTCTCTTGAAGGCAGGGGACTCAGCTCAGAGCGTGGCATACAGCAGGCATCTGATACAGGCTTGCTGAATAATTTAGCTAAACTGAGTTTCATGTAAATGCCTTTCTTGTGGGCTACTGTGGGTCTTACAACTTCCTGCCCTCATCACCTTTCCCTAAGCTTCTGACCATGTTCGCAGGTTACCAGGCATGTTTCTGAGTTGTCACACAAGTGTATATAAATATGTATGTAAACAAATGTCTTTCTTGTTCAAACTATTATATTCAAATGAGTAGTGGGAGAGAACAAAGACCCTTCAATCCTACCTGAGGTTTCTGGATCATATCCTCAAATGATTTCATTATATATTGGACAAAATTCCTTTCTCAATTTGTGGGCCTGTTTACTTAGAAATTCTGGAGAGGAAATCAGTCAAGAAGAGATAAAGGAGTGATTTCCTAGAATCACTGGGATAGGAATACATCTCACTGCAATTTACAGTGAATGAAATTCAGATCAGGACAAGGAAACAAGAAAGAAATAGAAAATATTAACATGAAAAATTGTTTCTCTATTTCTAAAGCCACACATCACATGACTTGGCTCCTATGCCCTCACTACCCTCCATCCACTGAGAGTGTGGTAACAGTCTTAGACTCTGAGTACCCACAGTTTTGGTGTCTTTCTCCTCTTCTTTCTCTTGTTCTGTGTGCTCCTCTGTCTGGGTCTCAGTCTCAGAGTGATCCTTGGCTTTCTTTTCAAAATCAGAAATTCTAAAAAAATTACAGAATATAGAAAAGTTACCTTTTCTTTGGCTTCCAGAGGAATAACAATTGCAGAAGCATTAAAAAAGAACATTATCTAAAATTTGGATAAAGGATGAATGTTTTCAAAATCTCTTCATATGCACTATATTAGCTCTGGTTTTGCTTTCAACCAGATACTGGCTGGAACTGATTTAAGGGATGAAAGCACATGGAGGTATAAGATGGCTATAATTTATCTTGAACACTGAAAAACACTGCCTTTTTCCACATCACTGAAATGCACAGAACTGTTTTTTTAATTTGTATTTTTATGTGTGTATGCACATGTGCTTATGTGAGAGTGGGTGCCTCTTTATAAGGATTCAGCAGAGAGGGAATCCTTATACTTGTTATAAGAAGATGCATCTAAGTTTATGAGGTCCTAAAACAAATATAGCAATTTGATTCTTATACTGAATCAAAATCATATGAAAACCACCTCAATACAAATGGAATAAAAAGAAACTTGTGATTTAAGATGGTAGATTAAATATATGCATGTAATTTTTCTTTCACTCTGAATGCCACTAAAATGACTTTGGAAGAAGAACATTCAAAGGAACTGCACCGCCCCTCCACCCCTGCCCAGCAAAAAACAGAAGACGAAAGTTGGTCAAATATATCAAAGCAGAAAAAGACAGCAAGAGTGAAGGGTGAGGAGGCAGGGGGAGGAAGAAAGAGATAAGGAAAGAGACAAATGGCAAAGAGGAACACCAAGTTAAGAAAATGAGAGGACTGGTTAAGGAGTTCAATTCAAAATAATAGTAGTTGCTAGAATGAGAGAACAGAGAAAACTGAGGGTAATTAAGTCAAGATCATTTTTCAAGAACTGAAGGATGAATGAGGCCAAGAGTGTCCAGAACAAATGGGTGAAAACAGGCCCCTCACCAAAGCACATATGAGATGTCAGAAAACTTGGGATGGAGCAAAGAACCTTTGGGGGAGAGGACAAACAAAAGAGGTTTTATGCCAAAAGATCAAGAATCAAAATGGCAATGAATTTCTCAGCCTTAACACCAGAGGCCAGAAGACAATGAAATACTAATGCTTTCAAAATTTGGCGGGAAAATTATATCCAATATATCCATAGAATTCTGTATCTAGCAAAACTATCTGTTAAGCAAAAAGTTAGAAAGAGAGATTTTCAGATATGCAGATTTCAGAAACTATCCTCCCCATATATTCTTTCTTAGTAAGTGAGTGGAGATATTTAAAGATATTTAGTGAGTAAGAACACTGGATACAGAAAACAGGTGATCCAAAAGAGGGAGCTGAAGGAATTCCACAAGTGGCCAAAGAGAGGTTCCAAGGTAAGTGCAGTAGAACCGGACCTAGACAGCAACCAGGCCGACTCTCAAGAAGAGGAAACCATTAGACTAGTAGACTATTAAACTATTAGACTCTCAAGAAGGGGAAACTATTAGACCACTAACACGTTTGCATGTCACTGAGATTTCCTCACTGGGGAAGGGTATGGTGAAACTAAGCAAATTTTTAAATGTAACTTTGCATAGAGCTTTTTGTTTTTGTTTTTTAAAGTATTAGAAAGGAAAAGTGGTCAAGGCATAGAGCAGAGCTCAACAGAGAACTGTGCACGCATGCGTGCATGTGTTTGCATAATAATAATAATAATAATAATAATAAAAAACACTGAGTAGTGATCTAACTAAATGTCAATACAATCAGTTTTGGAGTAGGGTGGTGTAGCATGGGATGGGAATAAGGGCCCAGAAGTGGGTGTGGTGACAATGGTGGGAGTCAAAAGCAGTTAAATTCTCATCCTTCATAGTTGGGAGGTCAATAGATTATGTCTAAGATAGGGGAAAATTTTTTCTGAGTAATGATTTAATCTTGATCTATGGGAGTAAGTACCAAAAGAACCAGCTAAATAAGTTGTAAGCCAGGACTTCCCTGGTGGTCCAGTGGTTAAGACTCTGCCCTCCAATGCAGGGGGCATGGAATCAATCCCTAGTTGGGGAACTAAGGTCCCATGTGTTGTGCAGTATAGCCAAAAGTTAAAAAAAATGATCAATAAATATGTTATAAGTGGTTGAGAAGCAGGAGAAGGAAGTGGTGGGGGGTGTGGGGGTGTGTGGCTAGCCAAAGAACTACTACTATCTTTCCATAAAAAGCCTGTGGAGCAACCAATTCTTTATGTGAATGCAAAACTGATTTTTTAAAAAGAACTTAATGATAATACAAAATAAACAAACAGCATTGGTATCTGTTGCAAACCACCAAACCTAACTGGCGCACAGGCACCGTCTCTAGAGCTGGTTGCTGCAGGGTGGAAGGCTGGGCCTTCACCACACCACTCACATATGATGCAGGCTTCCGATCCACGTGTGAATTTCAACTTAAATTTCTAGGGCAAATTTTCATCTTGGGCTGACTTTCTCCTGCCCCCTCTCTTGTTATCTTGGGCCATACTTCATATACAATTTCCCTCTCCTTCATGGCTATCAGTTTACGTTTGTTCAGAAGACACAAATTACACAAAATATGAATCCTGGCAAACAGTGAAAGAAAAACAAGTCTACTATCCCCTCTCCCCACCTATCACCTAAAATTTTTCAATTTCTCTTATTTCTCATGACTAATGAAAACAGTTGAAGACTGAGTTACGTATTTGAGAAAAAGACATGTTAGGTCTTGTAACGTCTTTTCATCATATCCTGCATAGTAAATCAGGTCAGGTGATATATCAGTGATTTTATTTCTTGGTTTCAGTCTGACCTTAGCCAGGAGCTTGTCCTAACACAGACATGGAGAACATTGGTCCTGGCAACCGATCACTGACTTACCAGCTGTTAAAAACTGCAAGAAGTCTGACTCACAAAGTGGAAATTTAATGTTATTGAGGAAGGGTAAGAAAGGGAAACACCCATCTCAAAGGCAGGCCTGACTTCCTAGCTACAATCTGAAAAATTACAACGCCGGACAGAGAGCTATCATTATTTTGAAAGCAGGAATTATATATTAGATCATATAAAAGATCAGGATATATAATCAGCAAATTCCTAAGTTTACACTTTTATTATTAAAGTTAATTATGTTGTCTGAGGAAGGATGAATTAGCAGCTAAACTTGACTTCTTCAAATGCTGTACAGAACTCAGGAGGGTAAATGTGCCAATGAAACAGAAACACACTGATTACTCATCAATATTAAAGGTCTTTTTCCAAAGCAAAACATCTTCCTTTTAAAAAAATCAGCTGTACCTATAATAACTGAGGTGTAAAATGAATGCTTTTACTTATTTATTTTTCTGTGCATCATTACTCAGTTTGGGGACTTATCAAAAAGGCGGGACAAATGTTTTACTCAATTAGAATACATAGTACTAGTTGCCTGGAAATTAACCTCCCAACTTTTCTATTAAGACAGTGGTAGGATACGGGGTACAGAGAAGGCAATGACACCCCACTCCAGTACTCTTGCCTGGAAAATCTCATGGATGGAGGAGCATGGTGGGCTGCAGTCCATGGGGGTCCCGAAGAATTGGACACGACTGAGTGACTTCACTTTCACTTTTCACTTTCATGAACTGCAGAAGGAAATGGCAACCCACTCCAGTATTCTTGCCTGGAGAATGCCAAGGACAGGGGAGCCTGGTGGGCTGCCATCTATGGGGTCGCACAGAGTCAGATTCGACTGAAGCGACTTAGCAGCAGCAGCAGGATTCAGGGTCAGTTCAGTTCAGTCGCTCAGTCGTGTTCGACTCTTTGCGACCCCAAGAATTACAGCACGCCAGGCGTCCCTGTCCATCACCATCTCCTGGAGTTTACTCAAACTCATGTCCATTGAGTCGGTGATGCCATCCAGCCATCTCATCCTCTGTTGTCCCCTTCTCCTCCTGCCCCCAATCCCTCCCAGCATCAGGGTCTTTTCCAATGAGTCAGCTCTTCGCATGAGGTAGCCAAAGTATTGGAGTTTCAGCTTCAGCATCAGTCCTTCCAATGAACAACCCGGGACTGATNCACAATTGCACTCATCTCACACGCTAGTAAAGTAATGCTCAAAATTCTCCAAGCCAGGCTTCAGCAATACGTGAACCGTTAACTTCCAGATGTTCAAGCTGGTTTTAGAAAAGGCAGAGGGACCAGAGATCAAACTGCCAACATCATCAAAAAAGCAAGAAAGTTCCAGAAAAACATCTACTTCTGATTTATTGACTATGCCAAAGTCTTTGACTGTATGGATCACAATAAACTGTGGAAAATTCTGAAAGAGATGGGAATACCAGACTACCTGACCTGCCTCTTGAGAAACCTATATGCAGATCAGGATACGAGGTAAAGATCTACAATTTATAGCCGTCATTCCTTTTCACCTTTGAAAAGAACTGACTATCACATAAGTCATTGGAAAAACACTGATTTCTTTTAGATAACCCTCATTCTGAATAAATAACTTTTGTTTCATATTTTAAGAACAGATTTTCTTATACTTAAATTTTTCAACTGCTTCAGTTAGAAAGTGCTATAGTTTTAAGATTAATGAAACATTTATAATGTCTGAGAGAATTATGCATGTATATTATATTTATGTATACTTTAATATATGCTATATACAGTATATTTATGACTAAATGTTGCAATCATTGTAACCCTAAAACTTTCCATTATGCCCCCTGTCTTATGTGGTTTAGCACTCTGCATTCCTAAGAAGTTCATTCACACATAGAAATTCATTGACTTCACAACTCTATAAGGTAAATAAATTTTATCCCAAAGTGTGTGTGTGTATGTCACATTCTATGAGATCAGTATTTCTCTCATACCAAAACCAGACAAAGACATTACAAGAAAACTACAGACCAACACCCCTTAGGAATACACATGCAAAAATCTTTACTAAGAAGGCTAGCAATCCAAGCCAGCAACATACAGCAGATCATATATCATGACCAGGTGTGATTTATCCAGGAATGAAAAGTTAGTTTAACATCAGAAAATCAATCAATACTTTAATAGAGGTTTAAAAAAAACCACACAATCATCTTCATAGACTCAGTAGAAGCATTTAACAAAATGTAAAACGTTTTCATGATAAAGATTGCAACCAGAAATAGAAAAGAGCGTTTCAACTTGACAAAAGCATGTATGAAAAACAAAGCTAATACCACCAATTTAGTGGTGAAAGACTGAAAGCATTCCCCCCAAGATCAGGAACAAGACAAGTATATCTACTTTCTCTACTTTTATTTAACATTATACTGGAAGTTCTAGCCAGGGCAATCATGGAAGTAAAAAATAAATAAATAAATAAATAAATAAATAAAAGAAATAGTGGTTGATAAGGAAGAAGTAACACTATTTCTTTGCAAATGACATGGTCTTGTATAAAGAAAATACTAAGGAAGCCACTAAAAAAAATAAAGATTATTGCTAATAAATGAATTCAGCAAGGTTGCAGGCTACAAGATCAATATACAAAAATCAGTTATATTTCTCTACACTAATAATGGACAGCAAGGATATCAAACCAGTCAATCCTAAAGGAAATCAACCCTGAATATTCATTGGAAGGACTGATGCTGAGGCTTCAGTACTTTGGCCACCTGGTGTGAAAAGTTGACACTTTGGAAAAGTTGGAAAAGACCTTGATGCCAGGAAAGTTTGAGGGCAAGAGGAGAAGCGAGTGACAGAAGATGAGATGGTTGGATGGCATCACTGACTCAGTGGACATGAGTTTGTGCAATCTCAGGGAGATTAAGTAAAGGACAGAGGTGCCCGCCATGCTGCAGTTCATGGGGTTGAAAAGAGTCAGACATGACTTAGCAACTGAACACCAACACTAACAATGAAAAATCCAAAAATGAAATCAAGAAAATAATTTCATGTATTATAGTACCAAAAAGACTGGAATACATAGGAATTAATTTTGAAAAAGAACTAAAAGACCTATACACTGAAAACTACAACACATCATCGGAAGAAATTAAGGATGACCTAAGGAAAGGGAAAGAAACCCATGTTGATGGATCAGAAGACTTCATATTGTTAAGATGGCAATGTTCCTCAAATTGATCTCCAGATTCAATGCAATCCCTAACAAAATCCCAACTTAAAAATAACAAACTTATTCTAAGAGTTTTATAAGAAAAACAAGGGACTCACCAAAACAATCTTTTTAAAAGAACAACAAAATTGGTGGACCTACATTTCAGAATTTCAAATTTTATTACAAAACTAATTAAGACAGTGTAGTATCACCATTAGGACAGACACTTAGATCAACTGAACAAAACTGAGCATTTAGGAATTAATCTTTACATTTGTTTATGGTCAACTGATTTACACCGGGGTGTCAGGGAGAAACAAATTATCTTTTCAACAAATGGTGTCAGGACAACTAGATATCCACAGACACAAGAATGAAGTTGGACCTTCACCTTACACCATGCACAAAAATGCACTCTCAACATAGATCAGAGACTTAAATGTAAGAGCTAAAACTATAAAACAATTAGGAGAAAACACAGGAGTGAATCTTTGTGGGTTAGGCAGTGGTTTCTTAGCTACAACACCAAAAGCAGAAGTGATCCCAAAACCAAACAGATAAATTGGACTAGAGCAAAATAAAAAAGAATTTTGTGCTGCAAACGATACCATCAAAGAAATGAAAAGATAATTCACAGAATGGGAGAGAATATTTACAAATCATATACCTCATGTCATTCAATAATTAAAAGACAATCCAAACTTTTTAATGGGCAAAGAAGAAGATACACATATGGCCAACATGGGTATTCATCACTGGGGAAACAGACTCACAATCACAGTGAGATACCACTTCACATCCACAAGGATAGCCATAATCAAAAAGACAAACAGCGAGTGTTGGTGTGGATGCTGGTGAGAATGTAAAATGGTGCAGCCACTGTGGAAAACAGTTTGGCTGTTTCTTAAAACATTAGACAGAGAGTAACCATGTGACCCAATAATTTAACTCCTAGGTATATACCCAGCGAATTAAAAAACTATGCCCACACAAAAAACTGTGCCTGAATGTAGAGAGCAAATATTACTCATAATAGGCAAAAAGTGGAAACAACCCAAATGTTCATTAAATGATGAACAGATAAACAAAATACTGTCTCGTTACACCATAGAATATTATTCAGCAACGAAAAGGAATGAAGATTGACAAATGCTATACCATGAATGAGCTTTGAAAACATTATGGTAAATAAAATAAGCCGGTCACAAAAGACTACATGTTGCATGATTCAATTTGTATGAAGAGTCCAGAAAAGGTAAGTCTATGGAGACAGAAAAGTAGATTACCAGGAGGAAAGAGGAATGAGTGCTAACAAGTACTAGGTTTCTTATTGGGGGAGAAAATGTTCTAAAATTATAATGTGGTAAAAGCTACATAACTCTGTGACTATTCTAAAAAAAAATTAAAATGTACACTTTAAATGGATGAATTTTATGGCATCTTAATTACATTCCAATAAAGCTTATTTAACTTTTATGCAGAATACATCATGAGAAACACTGGGCTGGAAGAAGCACAAGCTGGAATCAAGATTGCCAGGAGAAATATCAATAACCTCAGATATGCAGATGACACCATCCTTGTGGCAGAAAGTGAAGAGGAACCAAAGAGCCTCTTGATGAAAGTGAAAGAGGAGAGTGAAAAAGTTGGCTTAAAGCTCAACATTCAGAAAACTAAGATCATGGCATCTGGTCCCATCACTTCATGGGAGATAGATGGGGAAACAGTGGCCAACTTTATTTTTTTGGGGCTCCAAAATCACTGTAGATGGTGATTGCAGCCATGAAATTAAAAGACGCTTACTCCTTGGAAGGAAAGTTATGACCAACCTAGACACATGTTAAAAAGCAGAGACATTACTTTGCCAACAAAGGTCCATCTAGTCAAGGCTATGGTTTTTCCAGTGGTCATGTATGGATATGAGAGTTGGACCATAAAGAAAGCTGAGTGCCGAAGAATTGATGTTTTTGAACTGTGGTGTTGGAGAAGACTCTTGAGAGTTCCTTGGACTGCAAGGAGATCCAACCAGTCCATCGTAAAGGAGATCAGTCCTGGGTGTTCATTGGAAGGACTGATGCTGAAGCTGAAACTCCAATACTCTGGCCACCTGATGCGAAGAGCTGACTCATTGGAAAAGACCCTGATGCTGGGAGGGATTGGGGGCAGGAGGAGAAGGGGACAACAGGATGAGAAGGTTGGATGGCATCACCGACTCAATGGACATGGGTTTGGGTAAACTCTAGGAGATGGTGATGGACAGGGAGGCCTGGCGTGCTGCCGTTCATAGGGTCACAAAGAGTTGGACATGACTGAGTGACTGAGCTGAACTGAAAGCCATTAAAAAAGCAATGTATGCATTTTCCACGTTGCTTATTTCATACCTTTCTTTGGCTTCCTTGAGGGCAATTTCAAGTCTCTCCACCTTCTGGTTTCCTTCCCTTAGACAATGCAGGAGCTGGCTCACAGTTAATTCCTCAAACTCCACATAATTCCTGGTACCTTCTGCAGATTTGCTCCTACATCAGGACAGCAGAAAGGTTTCTGAGAATATGAAAATGTTGGAGTCTAACAATATTACTGGAACTAGTTAAAAGGAACAGCTTTCCAGAATATTCTCCTGTTAATTCTCATTTACAGACCAAGCATAGTTGGCCTGGTGACAACCAGAGCCTGGATCCTCCATGCTGTCCGGGGAAGGAGTGAGGCTGATGAGTCGGCTCCCCTTACTCTGCACACGCTCACTCCCTCCACGTGGTCACAGTGTCCACGGCACCAGACCCCAGGACCCACAGAAGCAGTGGAGGAGAGGGAGCCCCAGTTTTGGAGCCCTGCTTTCCTAGAGGACTCATCTCCAAGAGGACCATGGTCACACATGTGCTGCCTGTGGTGACATGCAGTCCACTGGTCTTTCGCCAACTTGACAGAAAAAACCACATTCTTAAGTCAGGAGAAGAAAAAGCATTTTTGTTTTCGGTTTCTAATAACTAGAGTACAGAAATGTAGGCACGTTGGTATGTCAAATCTATTTCTTGACTTCAAACTCAGATTAAATGAAGAGGCAGTTCAATGATGAAGAAAACCACGGCCATCACTGCAGTAACTAAACATTCTGGAAAGCTACGCTGACGCTAATAGCAGCTATGCCTTCAGTAACTTACCCAAGTTCACACATCTAACAAAGAGCCAGGATTCAGGATTCAATCCCAGTTCCCATCACCAAAGCTCAAACTTCAACCCCGGAGATCAATCTCTGACTCCTTAAAATACTTTCAAACAAGGTAAAGAAGCTGTTATTAAAACACAGCTGTGTGGTTTAAAAGAAGAAGTGGTATTTACACAGCTATACATGAAGAGGAAGTGGCTTAGAGATTTCAAACACGGCTTTCTTCCTTCCCACCACTTTCAGGAAAGTCTTCTGATATTAAAAAGGCAATATGGGGGGCGGGGGTAGTTATTTCTAATTAAAAAAGGGAGTGACTTTCATTTCTGCCAACTGCCCCGTTTGGTGAAAGAAATCTAATCCCGATTTTTTGCCTCATACAAGGGCTTGAAAGCATAACTGAGGGAAAAAAAAAAATTTTTATAACTCCATTCATCAAGTTATAGAAAAAAGATATTAAAAGTCTCTGAAGGAAGAGATACTTAGGGAAATTTCAGGTAAATCTTCTTAAGCAGATTCATACAGTAGTAACCTGCTTACCGGGGATGAGCTAATAGCACATTCTGGGTCACAGCTACTTGTAAGAGACGCGGGTGCCCAGGCCCCCTGCCATCGCCTCCTTAAGGTCCCGCTACTATTTAGGATGGCTGTCTACTAGGCACAAGTCTACTGGAGATTCCCCAGGTACAATATCTGGACACTCTGAAAAAACAGCCATAACCCAGAGCAACTACAGTCATTGTTATGGAAGACTATCATACATTAGCCACTTTGCCTTGTACTCGGGAATGAACAGGGAAGAGAAAAAGGAAACATCGTCCTTATCAGCTGGGCAGCCTAGTCCGGGGAAGACTGCATTCGTGAACACATTAGGAAACATGAGTCTCTTAACTGAGAACCAGCTTGTTTTCACTTCTCACCTGATGGTGATGAAATACCTCTACACAGAGTGGTGAGGGGTTAGTTAGCCTACCAAGGCACCAAACATAGTTTTTATTCTCTACCAGTGGGCTGCAACAATAAATATGAACAGCATTCAAACTGAACATTCTGGAAAGGCCCCAGTGTAAATCAGTAAGTGGCTTTTTCAGCCCACCATGTTTGGCCTCTCAGGGGTGAGGGGAAAGTGACAAGACTGCCCAGCGTGCCTGTCTGATAGCCTGACTCTGTCTTCACATACCTGTCAACAGAATGAGTTCTTGTGGGCCCAGGACTTGTCTTGATTTCTTTTGCTGCCACAGCTGCTTCGCCCTCCTGTAAAAGCAGAAATGAGAGAGGTTTAACATAGCATGCCTATAAGACAAATTCTCCAGCAAAAGATAAAAAAGTGAAAGATCAAGAATTTGGATGACATGTAACCCAAGGAATCTACCAAATACAGAAACATGAGATGCTTCAACTCAGTCACTCAAATGGAATGGAAGTTTATCCTTCCCTCAACCTGCATGCCCCGTCAGGATTATAAATATCCAGATGAAGATGAGAAGGCCGGGCTCCTCTCATTCAGCACAGTCATCCTGACCCCGCATACAGGAAAGCTTATCTTCTCTCTCCCTCTCTTGTTGGCAGTTCCCTTCTCTACAAGTTAAGGTCACACACAGCTAATGACAATTCCGCATACTTTTCCCACACACTCCTTCAAAATGCAAAATGTGGGACTTCCCTGGTGGTCGAATGGTTAAGAATCTACCTGCCAATGCAGGACACGGGTTCAATCCCTGGTCCAGAAAAATTCCATATGCTGCAGAGCAACTGGGCACATGTGCCACAACTCCTGAGCTCACTCACCTACAGCTTGTGTTCCACAACAAGAGAAGCCACTGCAAAGAGAAGAATCGCTCCCACTCGCTGCAACTAGAGAAAGCCTGTGCTCAACCACAAAGACCCAGAGCAGCCAGAAATAAATAAATAAATCTGAAAAAATAAAAAAATAAAATGCAAAATGCTAGAACTTGCTGAAGCCACTTGGAAAGAAGGCTGTCTTCTGTGGGCAGGGCTCACAAAGTGAAAGGCTGGCTCCCATTGAATTGAAATTCATCTGCTTCTTGGGCCACTTAGGGAACAGGGGGGACTAAGACCACTTCAATGATGTGAAAGACATTTCTAGTCCAGTGAGCTAGTGGAAAAATACAGAGGTGGTTCTAGATAATTTTGTATGCACTTCCTAAGTCTTGGGCAGTGTTTTTCTGTTCATAGGAGCAAGGCAAGAAAAACATGTTTACACTAGAAATAACTGTCACTCATCAGTGAGGGAGAACATTATGGTAACCATGCACCCCAAAGAAAGAAGCCTCATTTGGAAACTTCTGATACGCTCCTTAGACTTCCTGAATTTTATCAGTTATTTGCAGAAGGTGAAAGCTCTTTGATCAATGTTTTCATAATCTTTGCTCGTGTGCAGAATGAGTTCTCTGATACAGGGTACTTCCTGATTAGGATTTTCTCTTGACTTCAGGCCCTGTTCATCTAAAATTTCTGAGGGGTGTGGGTGGCAGGGTTATTAAGAGCCATTTTCCACTTCTGTTCATCTTTAGCGCAGCAAATTAATGATAAAGTGAAGAGAGTCATGCTCTGGTATTGCAGACATATCCAGTAGCTGAGCTTTTTGTAAGGTGCACTTCACCCCGCCTCACCCCCACTTGTCTACATGGAGGGTTTTCTCTTCCAGAGACACAGTTAAGCTCTCTTCCTGCATCAGACGTGTGCTCTGACAAGGCTGGGCTGACTGTACAGTGGAGGACCATACCCTCCTGTGTCTGTCTCCCTTAGTCTGTATTCCATTTTTTTTTTCTAGTAGCAAAGAAGGAGGTTTCCCTTCTAGCAGGACTGCCCACACACCAGCTACCCGCCGACACATGCTTCCCATCAGAACAGGCCAGCCTGTGCTGCCTTGCCCAGCTCGCTTCATTTGGGGCTGCACATAAAAGCCAGTAAAATAATGCTGGCTCCAGAATCTGTTCTCGGCGCTTCCCTAGCAGCTGCTGCTGCAGCGCAGGGAGAAGCCCGGGTATTCCCTGGGGCTACGCCCAGAGCACCTCTGCTCCTGCTTTTCTCCACTTCTTATTTTTAATATGCCTACGTTCCTCATAGGACTTTGTCTGAAAAGAGGATTCTATGATTAGTAAGTGGCGAGCCTTTTGATTTTACTGCATCTGATCATGATTCTGCTTACCTAAGTGAAATGCTGAACACAGCTTTGAAACCTGGGCTGAACAAGCTTATACTTTTTTTTTTTTTCTTTTTAGGTCAGATAAATTATTCAGGACATACTGGGGGAAAAAAAAGGACTATCTCTCCAGTCATAAAAGGTAATCAGTATTTTCCATTTCAGCTGTGATAGCCACAAGCATGATGTTTTATACTTATGCTGACTACGCTGAAATTTCCCCACTGTTTGGCTTTCCCATGTTGAAAGGAAGCAGTGATATTTCTAGCAGTTGTCCAGGTGAGGTTTTATAACTTGCTTAAGACAAAACCAAAACCAACACACTTACAGCCATCCTGATTTCAACAAAGGAGTCTTCGGAGGAGCCGCTTGAATTCAGCTTGAGTTGCAATTCAGACACGATGCCCAGAAGATCTGCCTTTTCAGCTTGGAGGCGTGCCACCTGGGTCTTCAGCTGTTCCACTTCTTGTTCCACTTCTGCCTTGGGGACCTTGGGGTCCCCAGTGATGTCCTGGAAACAATGTGGAGCAAAGTGAATGAAGGACTCAGCCAAGGACTCTGCCGTCAAACTCAAGTGCCTCTATACCTACTGGTAAGACAGCTGTGCTTTACAGTAGGGAATTCTAGCTTTTCCTCGGCATTTTGATATACCATTTGAAAAGGAAAAATTTACTTTGTCGTGTGCAAATAATAGGAAGTTAAAATAAACTCATGACAAGCAAGATTTCCTCAACATTCTGAAAGAAATAATCTGATTATCATGAAAATAACCAACCAGACTTTGGCAATGGTTGACTAGTAAACTACAGCCCCAAATCCCAGAAAATAAGGATAAAGAACTGCCACAACTCAACCTCTTCCTTTTTTTTTTTCCTCCTTCCACCCCCTCTCTCCTCATACTTGTCATTTCTGCTTACAAGCCAAAGCACAAGGGCATGACAGTACGGTGACGGCAAAACACAATGAAAGGTCCAAAATCCTCCCAGCCGTGTAGGTTGGTTGTTACAATATTCTATGCTGGTGTTTTAAGGTTGCTAAAGGTAAATCTGGTGAGAAATTAAGAAAACTGAAAATTCAGAGGCTGGTACCAAGGGTGGAAAATTAATTTTGGCCTCTTCAAACATTAACGGGCTTCCCTTGATAAACTAATAAACATTAATATTTTCCTAATGTCGAGTACCTGTTGTGTTCGTCTCGTTGCAATTACCACATATGACAAAGTCATAAAAGAAAGAGCTTGCTAACATGTGGTGTTTTTACTCGGGAGAAGGGAGAACAGACTATAGTCCACACACTGCTAATCAGAGCATGTGTTGCCTTGAACAGATTCCCTTAATGTCTTGGCTTCAGTTTCCTCGGATCAGAAAGACTTGGTATCATGCTGTCTCTGTGGCCTCATCTAGCTGTAACCTTGGCCTCCTGATTTCTTCCCTCGCGGCTCTTATAAACATGGCACCACCAGAAATATGTATACTTGAGATTACCAGAGGACTGCAACATTGAAAATTCAACCCCCTCCCCCACCCCCACCCCACAAACACCCTCTGACAGATTTTGTAAGGAATGGTAAACAGGCCCAAAGGCTCATAGTAGAACCAAAAAATAATCAGAAAGGCATGTGTATGGACCATGAATCAGCTAGTCTGTGAAGTGTTAAGAGAGTGAGAGCTAGGCAGTAATTGGCACATGAAGAGCCCATCACACCAGTGGAATCACGCTCTGCCTTCTTCTGGACCATCCCCTTGCCAGGAAACTCTCATAGGCTTTAGGAAAAAGCAACTCATAAAACTGAAGAGTTAGGTCTGCAAGGAAAAGCTCAAAGTTTGTACAGTCTCTCCTGCTAATGATTCAGACCACAGAAATGTATATTTAAACGCATAAAAATGAAAAAAAGGAAAGGTACTGCCTAGTTGGAACCAGGAAGCAAGCAGGCAAGGGGAAGACTACATCCTGTGAGAAACCTTCACATCCACCCTCTTGACCTTCCTGAGGACACTGAGTGGAATGGATAGAAGTCCAATCCTTCCACATCTTTCCACAAAGGAAGGAAACAGAGTTTTAAACAAGTGCCTGAGGACCAGGGATATAAGGCCATGACTCTTGAGTCTCAGAAGTCAGGTTAATTTTCTTTTTCGCAATTGTGTGGGTCTCTTCTTTATCCTTGGGCTTGCCTGGTGGCTCAGACAGTAAAAAATCTGCCTGCAATGCAGGAGACCCATATCTGATTGATGGGTCAGGAAGATCCCCTGGAGAAGGGAATGGCAACCTGCTCCAGTATTCTTGGGTGGAGAATTCCATGGAGCCTGGCCAGACAGAGGAGCTTACAGTGCATGGGGTTGCAAAGAGTCGGATACTACTGAATGACTAACACTTAATTATCCTTGGGAAATTACAGATCTGCAAAACACCTTGTGAGGTGACACTTAAAATTTCTCTTCATTTCACTGTTTAGGCTCTGTCCATCATCTTCCCGGATGAAACTCCCAGGGTTTGTTCTCTGGTATCTCAAGCCCAACTCTCTCTTCAGTTCAGGTCAGTCGCTCAGTCATGTCTGACTCTTTGTGACCCCATGGACTGCAGCACGCCAGGCTTCCCTGTCTGTCACCAACTCCCGGAGCTTGCTCAAACTCATGGCCATTGAGTCAGTGACTTACCACCGCACAAACCTATGGCTAATTCATACTGATGTTACATCAGAAACTAACACAAATTGTAAAGCAATTATCCTTCAATTAAAAATAAATAAAAGAAAAGAAAAAAGGATTCTTTAGAGATCACCATGATGTCTGTGAAAAGTGAAGTCGATTAGTCACTTCCGACTCTTTGTGACCACAGGGACTATAGCCTACCAGGCTCCTCTGTCCATGGGATTCTCCAGGCAAGAATACTGGAGTGGGTTGCCATTTCCTTCTCCAGGGGATCTTCCCGACCCAGGGATAGAACCCGGGTATCCCACATTGCAGGCAGATGCTTTACCCTCTGAGCCACCAGGTCTGTAGTTCAGTGAAATCAGGACAGAATCAGTCATACCTCAGCCTCACCATGAGGGTTGGAGGGCAAGTCTCAGTGGAAACTCCCTGCTCCTTCCCTATGCCTCGCAGAACACAGGGGGCAACCCTGATGGCTGGAGGGGGTCGGGGGGGGGGTGCCTGCAGAAGCAGCAGCAAAGACAGGTCAGCGTGAGTGAGTGAGAGACCTTGAGAGCTTCAGTAAATCAGGAAGATGAGAGGCTAAATTAAAAACAAACAAACACACACCTCAAGTGGTCCATGAAACAAAAATTAAAAGAGGTGGGGGGCAGGTGGGGGCCTGGAAGGCACAGCTTGTGGAGAAAAAAACTGATGACCAGGGGTTTTGAAGAATCCTCAGTGTCTCTCTGTCCCAAGGACTCATTTCTGAGTCCTGCCTATAGTTTGCTTCAATGGATCCTCTACACTGAAAGAAGCTGTCCAGAGCTCCAGCTTCCAATCTCAACTTCTTTCAATACGGGGACCTTTCTGGGAAACCTACAGGACTTTTCATTCACATTTTCGATACCCGTTCTCAAGGGTATCAAGGCACATTTCTCAGGTTCTTTGAGTCAGTGGAAATGTGGCAACCTTACAGCCTCATATCACACGATATAGTATCTGTCAAACCATTTTTCAAAAGTAAATGTAAAACACAAAGTGAGGAATCTACTGCAGATGGAGAGATAGGACAAGGTCAATAAGTGAAAATTCTGAGAGATAGATTGTAAAAATGTAATTCTATATCAAGGACTAAAGACCAACATTTGAATGGTTCTAGGCAGAGGTCTTTCTGTACCATCTATAATGAATACAAAATATTGATTTATAACCATAACACTCTTTTGACTATAATCAATAAGGTCAAAGTTTGACCCATTTCTTTCCTTCACCAGAGATTACACATGACCCTTAAAATTGCAACCAATCTTCTCATCACTATTCTTTCAAGATAATGCAAGCATCTAGCTGGAACTGGGAAAGTTTTGATCTTGAAGTCTAGACAAGTAAGATCCCACTACAAATACGAACATAATAAAATTACAACTGATCAGTCCACTCACCTCAAATGCCCTTTCAGTTTTCCCTGTTAATTTTCCAAGTTCTTGCTTCAGTTTTTCATTTTCAAGGCTCAGTGCCGTTAAGCGCTCTTTGGCTTCTTTGCTCTGAGTCTCAAAATAAAGGCGTTCTTCCTTCTGCTTCTCTGTCCAAGCTGAAAGCTCCTCAAATCGCCCTTTCATAGCTTGATTGTTTAGCTTCATGGCTTCTGCATGGGGTTCAAAGAGAGAGGTCAAAACACCAGGGGACTGGACTTGGGGTCATGAAGAGAACCTCCCCATAGATCACCTCACCATGTAGCTCTGAACATCAAAATGCCAGGGTTGGCCTGGGCTCCAGGGTCAGCTGGAAAGACTACATAGCAAAATGAGTAGTTTCTGCTTTCAAACAGGACTACAAGGTCTAATGTCACCGACTACCCTCAAGACTCTCAAGAAAATAAAATTGATTTTATTGATTTATTTTAACAAAATGTCTATTAATAACTAGCTAGACTGAGGTCCATTACTCCTGGATTCCAATACTGGTTTTGCCAAAAGCCATGGCTAGAGATATTAGAATCCTTTCTCTTAAGGTAATATTTAGGACTAACTCTGTAATAATAGCAGCCTTTTTATTTTTCCTTTTAAACTTAGGGCTAAATGTCATTCTGCCATTTCCCAGAGATACATAATTTTATTCTTACCTGTATCCAAAAGTAAACAATGGGAACAGCTTTAGCCTTGCTGTTGTTTAGTCACTAAGTCGTGTCCAATTCTTCTGTGACTCCAAAAGAGGCTATAGTCACAGGCTATAACACCAGGCTTCTCTGTCCATGGGATTCTCCAGGCAAGAATACTGGAGTGGGTTGCCATCCCCTTCTCCAGGGGATCATCCCGACCCAGGGACCAAGCCCACATCTCCTGCATTGGCAGGCGGATTCTTTACCACTGCGCCACCCGGGAAGTAGCTTTAGTCTTACTAAGAGCTAGTCCTGTGCTGTATCTCTCCCCAAGGAACCAGGTGCAGAGAAAGGGATTCACCTATAAGCTATTACCAAGGGACTGTGTTCCCAAAGGCCATGGGTGAATGGAGAAACATGGGGCTGGGTGTTGCTTACCTTTCAACTGATGGTTCTCGATTAGAAGCTCTCTCATCTGCTGCAGCAGCTCGTGTGGGGTGAACGTGTCCAGGTTTGGGTGAGCCAGACTGGGGGGTCCATTTCCTGTGGTTTCGTTGGGGCTGTCCCCCTTCTCAGTCAGGCAGCTAAGTGGTTGGTGGGACATGGCAGCAGTTCCTACGGGAAAATCACAAACTGAAAATTTAACCATCTCCCACCACACTGGGTCCCCAGGAGTTCACAAACCCACATGCAAGTCCTAAGAAGTATTCTAGAAGGGGCTGACTTCCTTTCCCATTTTGAACAATCTTGATTCTTTCTTTCAAACAAGAAAGATACATCCTTGCTTCAGTCTGTATGTATGTGTCTGTGTATAAAGGGGTACAGTGAGGAGCTGGGGGGTGGAGGAGGAAGAGATGGGAATGATATCAAGATGGTAAGAAATCCTAATGTGAGGCATTCAAGAGGGTTTTTGTATGTATTTGTAGATGTGGGCAAAGTATTATTAAGTTGATTTTTTCCCAGAAAAATGTTTTAAGCTCAAATCTCCATATTTTGGGTGAACTGTATGGTATGTGAATTATAACTCAATAATTAACTGTTAAAGAATCTCCATATTTTATTTCTTATATTTTTGGCTAAGAGGAAGGGGAGAAGTAACATATTTCAGATAATTACTATGTGCTCAATCATCACACCAGAGTGTCAAGTTCTAATCCTCACTAAAACTCAAACAAATGGGTATTTCCTGGGTGACAGAGCTGAATTCACAGAGCTCATCCAAGGTCACTTAATGAGAGGCATAACCGAGCATTAAGGATGATTCTAAAACCCAGCCCTGTCATACAATGAAGGTACCACTGAGTATCTAGGCTTTCATAGTTTACTTTTAGAAGCACACTAAAAAGACTAAGAAAACCTTGCTTAGTTCTTGCATATTCTGAGACTATTTTAAGCATATAATTTGTAAAGGGGTCACTGTGGCCACAAATAAAATGCAGGGTTAGTTGCTCAGTAGTGTCTGACTCTCTGTGACCCCAGGGACTGTAACCTGCCAGGCTCCTCTGTCCATGTGATTCTCCAGGCAAGACTACTGGAGTGTGTATGCCCTTCCCATAAATAAGATAGATGGGTATATCCCAACTGTATTTCTGTATGGCCTACCACCTCAGCAGGCACAGAAATCAAAGACTGTGGGCAAGCATTTTCTTTTCCACATTTCACAAAGATGATTCGTCCTTTCATGAGGCACTACAGGGTCACTGGAAGCTGACGGGGGAGAAGTGCTCTCTCATCTAGCGCTGTATCATAACCTCTGGGTGTGTGCTCTAGATGAGCGTGGAAGGCTGCCCCATTCAACTTACCCAAAGTTCAGATTCTACTTCATCCCTCCATCCTGCACTACCAGCAATTCTAAACAAATAACTAAGGCTTCCAGAAGGCTTTTTTCCCCTACTTCTTAGCAATGAATTGCTTACAAACAGGTTACTACTAACCTACATTTTCACTGTGTCCCAAGAACCACATCCCTATAAGTAGCTCCCACACGTGCCAAAGGAACCTGGCACTGCTGGCAGGAGGGTCAAGTATAAACGACTGTGTCTCTAAGAGACTACCAGGGACGCTTTGGTTACAGTTTGTGTTAAGTTCCTCAATGTGTGAGGGGAGAAGCTGGGGAAAGTACCAGCTATGAGTGCTTGCACGTGAATGCAACAAACTCTCGGCGCGCAGAGCACTGCTTCTTCCCCACTCTGGCAGGATGCAATTCCTGGGCTCTCTGGGGCCTTCCCAGAACTGAGTCTGGTGACCTGCTCTTGGTCTAAAGGCACCTATAGGATTAGAGACAGTGCAAGATACCTGTAGGATTAGAGATGGTGCTACTACTGAGGGGAGAGCGGGCCCTGGCACTGGTGGCCTGCTGACTTCTCTAGAGCAGCCAGCACAGGAAAGGCATCCTTGGAATTCTTTAATGAGGATGGCGATTCTGTGAAGTGTTAAACACGGATAAAGCATTCTGAGTCTTTTGAAAGCAGCTGTGTTTTACATATCCTGATTGATTTAGAAAGAGGTACACTGCCGAAGTGTGCTGTCTCTTGGCATGAGGTGACCAGAAGAGACTGCTTTTGTTTTCCCCAATAAAATTATTTGGGTTATTTTGCATAAAATAATTTGGATGATAATAATTTGGAAAAAGCCAGTTTCTGGCTTTCCATAAAACTCACTTTTTCACAGAACTATGCTGGAGCTGAAATTTCATAAAAATGGGTTTTTACTAAATAAAAAGTGCTCCTATCTATTTTGCAGAGAATTCTAAATATCTGACAAAGGCAAAATCCTTGTAACATGTTTTATTCACTTGTCAATATTAAATTTCCTCAAGTTTTCAAGGATAAGACTATACTTTTCAAAAGTAAAAGGAAACACTTAACAGATTTTTTTAAAAAAGTATCTAAAGCAGAGGGAAAGATGAGGAGGGGAGGAGATGGATGAAGAGAAGGGAGGAGAAAGGAGGGAAGGGGAAGGGGAGAAGTACCGTTCCTTTTCATTCTTGACTTTTTGTTTTATCTCCACCAAGACTTGAGGCACATCCATAACAGTTAAAACCAGTTCTACTTACTGACTTTCTGGTTGCCCAGGTTTTAATCGGGCATGAGGCGGAAAAAAAAAAAAAGAAGCAGGGTTATAATAAGGGAGACAATACAAAAATAAACTGGAAGACACTAACCAGATGTGTGACCTTGAGAAGACCTCCTGTGATGATTTACTGACTTGTCTAGCAAATGATGATCATTATGGTTGCTTTCAGTTCAAAAGACCTATAAAACGTATTCTTAAGGTTCTATCAAGATCACGGTCTAGTTCCCACTGTCCAACACATATATCCCAGTACCCTCATGGCCATGCCACCCTCTCTCACTAATACAAATGCCTGTCCCAATTATAGTGAATTCTTTGTTATGTGGCATTGCTAGAAAAAAATTCACTGCATTGTCTCTAGCACCTAGAACATTCCCAGAAATATACCCATCATAGCAATAAGAAGTTAGCATAAATGCCAAAGATAAGCATATAAATACTGTAACCAAACTTTTGCTAAAAGCAATTTAATTGATTTTTGGTGACTCAAAGTGCATTTTATGATTTTAAATATTTGGGGGGCCATCATTACAATCTATCACAACACAGTGTATATATGAGATGTCTCCTGGTAAAATGCCAGTTAGAATGCCAGTTAGAAAAGCTGAATTCTCTAAATGTTTAGCATCCCCTTGAACTACTTTCAGTTGAGAAAATGCAGATAGGTTATAAATCCCTGCACACATACATCTTCAAAGGTTATAGAAACTGGACCTAAGCCATTTACTGCAAGGTTCTGCCTGTTTAGTAACTGAATTTCTCATAAAAACCCAACCAATCTGAATCAGAAATGCATCATTTCTAGGCAGAAGGGTGATTTAATAATTTAGCATGGATATGTCAAGATTTCACCAATGAGGAAGAATGGGAACTACCTGGAAGGTAGAAATCAAAAGCAAAATCTCTAGATTTTATTGCCAGATTTGCTATCTGAATTCCTGATTATAATAATCCTTCTTAATTCCAGAGGTCAAGCAATTATAGCAGTGACTTGGCTTTGTAGGCATGAGCTTGAACTGCATTCCTGATTTGGTTTTAAAAATGGCCCAGCCCAACTTATTTGATGCAAGAATGTCCTGCTGGTTTCCATGGCAGATGGGCATATAGACCAGGCTTGAATGACTTCAACGACAGAAAAAATGGGCACATGACTTTAGCAGGCAACTGCCCATTCTATTCCAGGATGGCTGTGACTGCCAGAAAGTCATTTTGCATCCAACAGAAATCTGCCTTATACTGACTTCCATCCACTGGACATCGGACCAGCAAGAATAGCACAGAATAAATCCATGCCCTTACCCTGGTGTGGCTGATTCTCTGAATTTGCTAAGTACTCACAGGTTCACCCCTCACATGCAAAAATTAGTTTTAAACAGTGAAAACCTATTTCCTGACCATAGAGAATAGTTGGCTATTGGCAAATTCTGGCTTGGTTTTTCAAGGGGGTTGAGTAACATTCCAAGATTGCACCAACAAAATTCATCACAATCCGGGAAAAAAGAACTCAAAAGTACACATCCTATTAAGGGGCAAAAGAGGCCTTGGCTTTTATGCCAGAAATGGTAGTCTGACTTTTGGACATATAGAAAGTGGAAAAAGACTTAGCCTCATCTCCCAGGGCAGGAGCTATACTTGATGACTCCTATCTTCTCTTCCCTTGAGTCTAAAGGGTCACCCAGTCCTGTCACTTCCACTTCCTCTCAATCTCCACCAGCTTAGGTCAGGTCCTTCTTGTCTTATCTGGCCTATAGCAATGTTGTCCTTCATAGAGGAAAGGGTTTTTGTCTTTTCTGTTCACTGCACTGTCTCTAGAACCTAGAACATTCCCAGAATATGGGGGTTCAACAAATAGATGCTGAATGAATTTACATAGCTTCCTCCATGGTCTGACTCATCTCTTTCCATTGCAGCCCCACCACCTCCATGGTTTCTTCCCCAACACAAGAGCATCCTCCTACTTCCACCCTTCCCATACAGACAGAGCTTCAGCTCCCGAGCAAAACAAACACGGCCTTTCAGAGTCTGGCCCCCCACTTACCCACCAGTACCATCTCCTGTCACCAACACCACTCATGCCTGGGGCACACTAAAGAGTTCACAGTTCCATGCCTTTTGCTTTTCTATCCTTTCTCAAGATGCCTAGACTTGCTGTTACCCTGGCAAACATCTACTGGACAGTTTAACGTCCAGCTCAAATAGATGTCTTATCTAAAAAGACCTATGCTTTCCTCTGAGTACCCAACAGTGCTTTACACATTCCAGTCGCTTGGTTCTTTTATGCAAAGTACTGTATTATCCCATGCCAGTCAACTTTCCCATCAAACCTAAGTCGAGGTGTTTATTTTTCCTAGAGACTGGTACACTGAGAGCAGGCTCTCAGTAAACATTTGTTGAAATCAAATGAAACTATCAAGTGTTACGAGGTAAAAGCCTTACACTTGTAAAACACTTTCTGCTCAGTAGGCAAAAAATCCAACATAACTAGTATTACGAGTTTTTCTGCAGTTTTACAATGGCACTCGTTTCCAGATTCTTGAACTAAACTTATTTTGAAAATCAGTACTATTTTAAAAATATCACTACAAAGGTATCTGGGTGTCATTTCATAACATATTTCATCACTCAACCCACATATACACATGTCAAAATGAAAAAGAAAACTTAATTACTTTCTGAGTGAAACAGATTTTACTTAAAACAGTTTAATTTTCCTATTTTCCTTTGAATTTACTATTCCATAAATCTCAAAGAACATACCAAACACTCCAAGTCTTTATAAAATTCAGAAAGAGTGAGGCTTGGAGAAGAGAAGACTTCTGTGCCTCCACCTAAGGTGGGGGATCGCATGGGAAGGTAAAACAATGACCAGTTCCTTTCAAAAATAACGTCTGATTTTTTTTTTTTTTTTTTGGTGTTCAGTCAGAGTACACAGCATAATATGCAACTTGTGGTCAGTTACCAAAAAATAAAAAAATACTACACCTGGCCAGTCCCCTCCCAAACTGGGGCTATCTTGGGGTGGGGGGAGGTGGCCAGGGCACCCCCTGCTCTTCTCTCCAGGCAACGAGGAAGCATGAGAGGTTCTTCCGTTAATAACTGCTGTTGTTTAGGATTTCCCAGGCAAGGATACTGGAGTGGGTTGCCATTTCCTTCTCCAGAAACCTGCATCTCCTGCACTGCAGGAGGATTCTTTACCACGGAGCCACCAGGGAAGCCCATTGTTAATAGTGCCTCTTGCTTAACCAGATCGATCCTAGGCTTTTGATGTTTAAAGTTTCGGTTTCCCACTTCATCCTTAAGCAGTTCTGTGGCACACAATTTCCAACGACAGTTTTTCTGGTGGAGGGAGGAGCCTAGCTGGAGCCTGAGTTACATTTTCTCTTAGTGGTGCTTACTGCCTACAGCTTACACAACAGAAACAACCCCTCTGGGGTTCTCGCCTCAGCAAATATTCATATTCTCTACGTATGTATCTATACCTACCCACACAAACACACACACAAGCTCCCCCAGACACAACGGTTTATGAAGATTCCTTTCAGCTGTTCAGTAATCCCATCACCTCAGAAAGCGGCCACTGGCTCTTTAGTGTACTGGGTCGTCTCGTGGAGCTAGTTTTTACGTCTTTCGAAGGTGTGTCCTTAACCCCTTCCCTTATAGTGAGGAACTGGCTGTATAATCATCCCCAATCTGTGCAAGGATGTCACCCTTAAACCACCTTCATGACCTACAGAGGAAGTCACCTGCGGCCAGTCTGGCGGGTAAAAAAGGGGGAAGGCCGCTTTGGGATGGACGCCCCTGCTGCCCTTTGGCACCAGGTCAGGATCGCCAGGGCCTGGAAACCCTCCTAGAGAGCGCCGCGGTCCAACTGGAGGAGACGCCCCACCCCTCGCCACCCACGTCCCTACCGGCTCCGGGTCGCAGGGAAGGGGGCTTCGGAACAGCTTCCAGGGCGGAAAGGGAGACCCTGCCCGCCCCTGCCCTGGCTCACCGGCGCGCGGGCTCCGGCCTCCCTCGGGTCACTGCTTCCTGGGCATCATTCCCGCTGGGAGAGGGCTCCGGACCCAGACGCAAACGCCAAGCGGGGGACCGGCCGGGGCGGCGAAGGGGGTTGGCGAGCTTTAGGTTGATTTGCGGCCTCGCGACCCCGCCCAGCGTTGCTCAGCTGACCGCCGCGGCAGCCTGCTCACCTCCGCCCGGGAATTTCCCAGGCCCCGCCCTCAGGCCCGCCTAGGCCCCGCCCCATCGGCAGGCAGTCCCCGTAGGCCCCGCCCCAGCTCTCCGCCCCTCCTTTTCCCTCCACCAGCCCACATTCTCCCAACCCCAAGGCTCGCTCATGGTCAAGGCCCGGAACCGGGTTAATGCAGACTGCGCCAAGGTGTTAGTGTGACGGCCGTGAAGGACGGGGTTAATTAAAGCAAACTGTTAAGTAAATGAAGTGTGAGCAATCTGTCATCGTCGAAGGAGGTCCTTTTAGAAGTCGAGCCACAGGGGTCGCTGCATCCCACCGAAAGAGGGAGATGAGCCTCTTGTTAAAGGGCTTATATTTAGATACAGTTAATTGAGCAAGCACCGCTTTCCACCCAATTTTGCCCTTAAAACAGACTTTTAATTAAAAACACAGAGCCAGCAGGATGTTTCTGAGGCTTTTGTTGCCAGGGGAACAGGCCAATCGTCGACATTGGCTTCAAATGCTCCAGACAGGTGGGATTACTGGATTAACCTGGATTGCATCTGCAAAGCAGTGGTACTGATTTACTGAACTAGAGGAGAGTGGATGCCTCTGGACACTATAGAGTGAAATGGGAGGAAACAAGACAGAGAAGGAGGGAGAGCCGCCTAGGTTTGCAAAGTAAGCACTTCGAGAAGGGATTAGCAAGGGCGCAGACACAGGCGTCTGATCCCAAGGTCGGGGTCTCCCAGCCCGTGCGGCCGGTTCTCCCGGTAACAGGCCTCCCGTGCAAGATAAGAAAACAAAAATTAAGGGAGAGAGGGCCTGGGGGCAGGTTTGTCCCGAAGACCAAGAAGGACATCACAAGAGAGAACTTAATTTATGAATGAAAAGGCTGACGCCGCTTAAATCGCGGGATACCGAGCACATTGTTGCACATGGAAGCTGCTCGCTGGTTAGAAACGGAAAAAAACAAACAAAAAAAACAAAACCCAAAACAAAACAGACAAAAAAACCCACACACACAACCCTAATCCAAATAGGAAAAGGGGAAACGCGCCCTCTCCTGGTATCCTGAAGGATTCAACTCCTCTATTTAGACAGCCTGCTCCAGGCCAGCTCTTTTTACCCGGCCCTCAGCATCACCCTGAGATTTAACCCCCTGCTCAAGGTAGAAAGAAAGTCTCCCAGTCCTGTCAGACTCTTTGAAACCCTGTGGACTGTAGCCTACCAGGCTCTGCCGTATATGGGATTCTCCAGGCAAGAATACTAGAGTGGTTTGGCCATTCCCTTCTCCAGGGGATCTTCCTGACTGAGGGATTGAACCCAGGTCTCCCACATTGCAGGCAAATGCTTTACCCTCTGAGCTACCAGGGAAACCCACTCAAGGAACAGAGGACAAGCAAATCAGGGCCTGCCCCAGACCCAGTTGCAGACGGTCCCTCCTGGGCTTGTTAGGGGCGAGTCAGCTCCGCTGCCTTACTTCTGTTATTTTAAACAGAATCTGCCTGCAATGAAGGAATCCCAGGTTCGATCCTTGGGTGAGGAAGATCCCCTGGAGAAGGAAATGGCAACCCACTCCAGCATTCTTGCCAGGAAAATCCCATGGACAGAAGAGCCTGGTGGGCTACTGTCCATGGGTTCCCCAAGAGTCCACACAACTTGGCAACTAAACCACCAAGGAGAGAGAAAATGAGTATCAGAGAATCTAATACTCATTAAAGGGGCAGGGAGGGGATAGGATGGGGCAGGGGGATGGCAGTTGCGGGGGGCGGTGTCATACACAAGACTGCCCCTAGTTGTGGAGTGCGAAGGTTGAGAGTGGATGAGTTTCTGGTAGAGAAACCGATCAGACCCACTTGTTCTGGAAATATTGAGCACTCCCACCACATCATAGTTGTGTGACCCTGGACAAGCTACCTAATCTTGCTGTGCTTCATTCTCTTTATCTGTAAAATGGGGCCTCTAATACAGGTCCAAAATTCCAAAGATCTGAGAATTCAATGCCTTCCTTAGTTCTTTTGGTGGCAAAACTGACCCAAACCAATGTAAAGTTATTGTCTTTATTTGCACCACTTGATATGATTGTTTCTTTGAAGGCACCTTATTTAGTTTGTATGAGATCTGTTTTGGACCCTCTTGTGGAAATTATATTATGTAAATTACATGCACCTTATTACCTTGTAAAGTCCAAAAAATTCTGGATTCAGAAACAGCTTGCGCCAAGGGCTTTAAATAAAGGATTTGGATATACAGAGTTTACTGCCTAATGTCACTGTGAGGATTAAGGGATAATACATGTAAAACACACAGAACCATGCCTGATGCACAATGTAAGTTGCTATTCTTACTGCTGGGGTTAGAACCAACTCTGTTTCTTAGCCTGAGTAGTCCAGAGGGGTGCCTTCTTCCTCTCTCATGCTCCCATGAGTAGATAGAATCTAAGCGCAGCTAAGAAAACTGAAATTATGATATGCTTTCCGCTGTTCACTGATGTGGTTTTGTGGTAGGTGAATGCAAAGCAGTGTGGTAGGCTATTTAGTGAGATACTCATTTGTTTCATGCTTTCGGTGCCCCTTCTTTTTGCTTGGTGAAGGCAGCTAATCACTTTGTGTTTCCTGTCGCGGGGGTGTTTGCAAGATTCTTGGAAGATCAACCTTTCTCTTGTCTTTAGAGAAAGCCCAATCCCAGTAAATGCATCGTCTACCCCAGGTGTCCTGGAGGGAGACTGCAGAGAACCCAGGTGGGGTGGGGGGCTTTCATGGCGGTTGAGGGGAAGAGTGAGTCCCCCAGAGTGGGAGGTGGGTGGAGGCTGGTGGTCTCCTGAGCATCAGAGTGACGCCTCAACCTCTACAGTATTAGGACCATGGCCAGCTCTGGGAGTGACACAGCTGTATGAGGCATCTGTTGGACCCTGGAAACTGATCTCACAGATTCAGCAGGTTCTGGAATCCAGGCTTGTCACTGGAAATAACCAGTGTTATTTAGTTATTATTAGTTATTGGTTTATTATTAGTTATTGTGAGTTAGTTATTCAGTTACTTAGCAGAGCGACCTGCCTTCTCCTTAGTAGAAGCTTTATGGTAGATGGCAAGGGTACCAGCCTCAATGGGCTGATCAAGTTAACGTGGGCTGAAGAATAACTGGCCCAAACTCCAGTGGATACCAAAAGCCCTCTTGGATTGTTTCATGACCCCACGAAAGGAGAGTCTCCACTCAAGGCCTCCAAGATGTTCAAGAGTGGATTTTCCTACACTCCTACAGGGCCAGGGCTGGCTGGAGAGAAAGTAAAGATATATTACATTTTAATGCACATCTGAGCTAGTGGTAGAAAAATGTACACACTTGGGAACCAGATCCAAAGACTATCTAAATTATGATCTCCCTATACCGTGATTCCATATTGTGAAATGTCTAGAAAGGGGCAGCATAGACACAAAGCAGATGTGTGGTTGCCTGGGGCTGGGAGTAGCTTTGACTGCAAAGGAGCTTGCGGAAATTTTGAAGAGTTGATGGAAATATTCTAAAACTGGGTTGGTGAATGCAAAGATTGGTAATGAGGATTGCACAGCTCTATTAGAATAGACATGATTGAATTGTGCACTTAACAATGGGTGAATTTTAAGTCATGTAATCCTAAAAGAAATCAACCCTGTACTCATTGGAAGGACTGATGCTGAAGCTGAAATTCCAATGCTTTAGCCAATACTTGATGCAAAAAGCCAACTCATTGAAAGGACCCTGATGCTTGGAAAGATTGAAGGCAGGAGGAGAAGGGGTGACAGAGGATGAGATGGTTGGATGGCATCACTGACTCAATGAACATGAGTTTGAGCAGACTCCGTGAGATAGTGAAGGACAGGGAAGGCTGCTGTCCTGCAGTTCATGGAGTCGCAGAGTTGGATACGACTGAGCAACTGAACAATAACAAGTTATATCTTAACACAGCTGCAAAAATACACCAAGGGAGTTCTTTGGTGGTCCAGTGGTTAGGACTCTGATTTCACTGCTGAGGGCTTGAGTTGGGTCCCTGGTTGGAGGAACTAAGATCCTGCAAGCCATGTGGTGTGGCCAGAAACAAACAAACAAAAAAACAACCTACTGAAAATAATGCCATAAGTAAATCATCATGCTGTCTGGTAAAGTGTATACCCCTTCTGCTGTTGGGTCAGCATTGTAATGGCCATGTCAGTCATCTACTGTGTAACTTAGCTGAGTCTGGGTTTTGTTTGAGCTTTAGTTAGATTCAGTTCACCATTGGCTCCAAATATTCTCAGAATGAATTCCTCAAAAAGTTCAACAGAATTACCTTGTGACCCAGAAATTCCACTCCTAGGTATACACCCTGAAAAACTGGACTCAAATAAGTGCATGTAAATGCCTCTAATAGGTTGCTTTCCTCTTACTGATACCTGGCATTGCGGTGTCTCCCAGGATGAGAAGTGAGGCTTCCATTCATCAGAGCAGCCTCAGACAAGCATCTGGAGTCCCAGGGCCATGGCTCTGCTTTTGAAGAGCCAGAGCAAGTGTGTGTGGGGGATCTACACTTCCTTCCTCTCTTTCATAGCTTCACAGCTCTAAACTTTGAAATAGTCAACTCCGTGGGAAGAAGCTGAGGGTTTATCTTTTAGGTGATCTTCAGGCCTCTGTGAACACTGAATAAGAAGACCATATTTCAGTTCAGTTCAGTTGCTCAGTCATGTCTGACTCTTTGTGACCCTATGGACTGCAGCATGCCAGGCTTCCCTGTCCATTACCAACTCCCAGAGCTTACTCAAACTCGTGTCCATCGAGTCAGTGATGCCATCCAACCATATTGTCCTCTGTTGTCCCCTTTTCCTCCTGCCTTCAATCTTTCCCAGCATCAGGGTCTTTTCCAATGAGTCAGTTCTTTGCATCAGGTGGCCAAAGTTTTGGAGTTTCAGTTTCAGCATCAGTCTTTCCAATGAATATTCAGGACTTATTTCCTTTAGGATTGACTGGTTTGATCTCCTTGCAGTCCAAGGGCCTTCAAGCATCTTCTTCAACACTGATGAA